CTTGCCGAGAATACGACGGACGGTTTCGCCCATGCCTATTGGGCGCGCACCCGGTTTCGTATCTAGGGGGATAAGCCGGCACGCCGTGTAGGCTTCCATCGATGCCGGGTTGCTGTGTAGGCTTCCATCGATGCTGGGTGGCTTCCATCGATGCTGGGTGGCTTCCATCGATGCTGGGTTGATGTATTGAGTGGCAATTCACCGAGCACAGCTGGGGAGAGCATCACATAGGTAATCTGAAATGTTGCCAAACGTTGTGCTGTGCACGGCCCTGCAGAACCGGTGGTATGCAGCGCAGCTTGGCGCACAGCGGTCCTGTCCAGCTTGGTGAAGAGCACTGGGTGGGGCTGTGCTGGGGGTTGCCCTGAGAGGAGAGCCGCTGCTGTGACTGCCTCGCCCTGTGGATGCTTAGTGCGCAGCACATCCCGCACGGTCGTTTCTCCGATGGTGTCGTCAAGATCGAGAACTCCACCACACGTGTCGGGGGAGAGTTGACGAGTGGCCGCCGAGAGCCTGCCACGCTCAATGTCGGACACAAACTTGCGTGCCGGGTCGACCGTGTGTCCTCGTGCCGTATGTTTCGCCTGCGGGCCTTGAGGATCTGGTCTTGGATAGTCATGGATTCTTGGAGTAGCACCTGCACGTCTCCGGAATCCCACGAGGCAATGCGACGCTCGATGCAACCCTTGTGAGCTGCTGCCGCTACGGTCCCGCCAGGTTTCTGAAGGAGCAACTGTTGCATCACCATCGCCGGTTTCAGGGCGTAATCAGCTGCACCTGAGGAGTTGTTACCAAAGGCGTGGAAGTGTGCACTCAGCATACGGATAAAGGTTCGGCCCGTGTTGCCCATTGGTACGTCCAACAAGCTCAGGGCAAAATGAACTACCCTCTTGTACGCCTCGGATATCCGGTTGGAGAGTGCGGGACCATCCAGTGACCCAGTCCAGTCATGCACATGTCACGAGTGAGGTTCTGCTCTACGTTTCGCGAACACGACGCAAAGAATCACGCGAACTCTCTTCGCGTTCCCGTAACGTAAAGAAATCCTGTTCTGCTCTACGTTTCACATAGAGAAGTCACGTGGAATGTGTACTGGGAATTTCCCCGTCCATATTTGGGAGTTTTCTGCCTGCACTCGAATGATACCCAGCAGATCCATACGCATTTTCTTTGCGTGTGCCACAACGTAGAGAACCTCATCTACGCGTAGAAATCTGGACCCAAAACACGCGAAGCCGTAGACTCTAACCCGGACACCTGCTCTCTACGGGATTTATCTACGTTTCACGTATAGCAGAACCTCTCTATTGGCCTGGCGGTCGCTAGCTGTACGCGAGACTAGCGTACAGTGTACTGACTATACCAGGGCTGCCACACTTGGAGGGAGAAAAATCTGACGGTGAATTTTTTAGGAAAATGGCTTGCTGTTGGGGCCCCAGAACACATTTTTAACTGTCCAGCCCACGCACTACAACCATGTCAATTATGAATTACTGGCCAACTGGACTAAAAAGCGCTCAAAATAAAATAATCTGTTGTCCCTCTTGGGGAACAAAATCGGTCGGTTTGTCGGACAGGCGATCAAAAATCTGACGATTTCCGAAAAATCGGAGCAAGTGGCAGCCCTGCTATACTCGTACTTTGTTTGTGTTGTTGTTGTGTGTGCGTGTGTTGTGTTGTTGCTAACTTTGGATGCTATTTTATGCGGTGTCACATGATTGGTCGACTTTCTAGTATGACCAAAGGTCTAGTAAACTTTTTTTTCGGTCATTTTTCTATATTTCCACCTCTCGCATACGTATACGATGATTAATTTTTAGATTTTCAGGTGACGAGAAACATAGAGAGTGTGGGCCAGCTGAAAACTACCGTAGAATCCCGCGGATAAGCCCATGGGCTTATCTGTTTCACAAGGACATTTCGGTGGGCTTATACAAGAACATGGGCTTATACGTATATACGCGGGCATGGGCTAATATGCTGACACCAACATTGTGCTATTGAAAAGTATCAAGGAAGTGAGAAGTACATTGCTGAAAGCCACTGTGCAAATAAAAACAACCGATGATTGTGTTGAAATGTACAAAAAAAACCAAAAAACCCTACATGACATTGTACTGCCTACAATGTACATGGTATGACCAAGAGTCCATAATTTATGGACTCTTGGTACGACTTTTAGGCCCATGGGCTTGTACGACGAAGCCTTTAACTTACTTGTGATGTTCGAACTTTCCCTGAGCTTATACGCGGGATTCTACGTACGGTAGTGTGGTTGTGCATCACACTACAATGTAGACAGGTCGACGGCCATTAGCGGGCTGCAGCTGGTGGTGGGAGAATAGCCTTCAGCCACGATCCGCACAGTACAGGACCTCCTATGACTGAGCGCAGCGTGTATAGGAATAGCAAAGGCCTAGCTGCTACGGCATGCCGGATGATCAGGCTAGGAAGGTATTATAGGCACATCAATCCCTTCTAGATGTCAAGCCAATTTATTTTTCGTTCAGGGCTATGGGTGGGTGGGTAGGGGATAGGCATATGCGGATAATGCCGGCAGAAAAATTGGCAGAATTCGGTACTTTTTCTGGTAAGTTTCATGTATGTTTGGTATGTGGATAAAGAAATGGAGCAGAATTCGAGGTATTGCCCGCCATAAGGTTTGTATGGTTCTGCCAATTTCACTGCTTTTCGAGCAGAATCTGCCACCTTTTCGAGCATTATCCGCCAATGCCTAGTTATCCGCCAATGGCAATGCCTAGTAGGGGAGGGGCATAAGTTCTCTCATAACTGAAGTTTTTTGTTCCGTGAAAATTATTATAAAGATCAATTGGCCTTGGGCCATCATCAGGATTGATAAGAAATGGACAATGCTGTGTTGTTGATGCTTGTTTAAAGTTGTTTTTATATTTGAAGGATTCAAATGGATTCTTATCCAGGGTAGTCTCCCGTTAGTTATCTCAGGTAGATGTGCATCACCAGTATCTCTTTCTTTTGCCCCTTCCGATTGAGAAGTTGTTCTTTCAATGCAATCCTCCGCATGCGTGCAAAGAAAGCCTCGGAAATGGCTGTCGCCCAGTGTGTGGTGGGATGTGGCTGATACAACCATTGTACCACGTTTTGGAAATTCATGATAAAACCATGTTCTCGGCCACGACGACACACGTATGCGAAGTGCAATGCAGCGACTGCAGTCACTGACGCCGCACTACATGGTCACAGGTCCTTAATAGGCCATGCACACGACGTGCAAACATTTGCACTCGTGTGACCAAGATAACACGGGCAAACTGTGATCCAGTTCACACGGTGCTGGGCAAACTTTGCAACTGTCAATGTATCCATAGTGACCTCCCGAAAATGCCGGGAAATGTTCAATTTTGAATTTTCCCTTGTTCATGCACTGCATTTGCAGTACGCACTTTCAACAACCGACACTTTTCCTGGCGTGCAAAGATAATCGCGAGCAAAAGGGCCTCGGCCAAGATAAAAAATCAGTTGCACGCGTGTGTCCAAGTTTATCGTATCCGAGTAAATATCCTTGGAAACAGTACGATAAAAGTAAGTTTGCCCGTCGTGTGAATGGCCTATTACTAGTGCTGAAACGAGTACGCCGAGTACTCGAGTACCCGCTCGTTGAGTACTCGACTCGATATCAAAAAAGGACTCGATAAATAAATAAATAAAAAACTTGATAGCGACGTACACATCCGTCGTCCACGTGGCTTTGCAATGAAAATTTGTGTTTATTGAAGGATATTGAATTGTGTAAATGGTGTGCAAAAAATGGGTATGTGGTACTGACATATATGCGCATGATTGCTTATAGAGTACTCGATACTCGACTCGATAGTGACAGTACTCGCTCGATAGCTTATAGAGTACTCGTTTCAGCACTACCTATTACACACGGCGTGCAAACTCACTTTTATCGTACCGTTTCCAAGGATATTTACTCGGATACGATAAACTTGGACACATGCATGCAACTGATTTTTTATCTTGGCCGAGGCCCTTTTGATCACGATTATCTTTGCACGCCAGGAAAAGTGTCGGTTGTTGAAAGTGCGTACTGCAAATGCAGTGCTTCAACAAAGGAAAATTCAAAATCTTACATTTCCCGGCATTTTCAGGTCACTATTGACGGTTGCAAAGTTTGCCCAGTACCGCGTGAACTGGATCGCGGTTTGCCAGTGTTATCTTGGTCACATACGTGCAAGTGTTTACATGTGGTGTGAATGGCCTATAAATCCTTATTTTTGGCAGTGGCCATTTGTTTGAATACAAGGTGGCAGATTCTCAGCTCAGCAGGCATTGCATGTTCTTCTCACTAAAATGTTCTTTGACTGAAATTACTGTAGTGAAATTTTGTAAGAATCTCACTTTCTTCCTTGCTGAACTCGGATTGGCTGAGGGTGGTTGACCTATCATTTTAGGTGTGAAGTTTACAGCCAGGATAGGCTATAAAAGTAATCATTCCAGGAGGGTTTAGGATGGCTAGAATTTTGGTTTGAGTGCATTATAATTATTTTTACACAGGTGAAGAACAGTGGCCGTGATCCGGGATGATTCCTCTAGATATTGAGAGTGTATATTGAGAGTGTCTAGAGTGTGGCATCAGCAAGTAGGTAACAAACATACCGGTACGTATACCCTAACCTAGTCTACATATTTCTCGCATCACCTTACCCAGTGGATCCCTAAGCACAGAAGCTCAAACCACTTTGGAGGTGAACAACTTGTACAGAAGAAGTGCCGTTTTCTCTCTTCTAAGTTGTTCTCTAGCATGACTGCGGAAATGATATTCCTATGGGGGATACTTATGCATTTTGTTGTACTTATGGCCACTTGAAAGTATACGAAAAACGCAATTTTCGTAACTTCGAGGCCCCATAAGTACAACAAAATGCATAAGTATCCATATGAATATCATTTCCGCACAGTCTATGCATGCTAGAGAACAACTTAGAAGAGAGAAAACGGCACTTCTTCTGTAAAAGTGGTTTGAGCTACCAAAAATAAGAGTACAAATGTAATGTGCCGCCCAGAAGAGAGGCAGACAGGGAATAAAAGCAAAATAATGAAAATAAGGAAGTGCTAGGCTTGTACATTGGGAATGGTTAAACACAATGAGGGGGGGGGGGGGGGGGGGAAGAAGAGAAAATTCACATGGAACACAACAACAATGGAACACAACAAAAAGACCAATATTTCCTAAATTGGGATGTACTGAATTACATTATTGCCATTCGTCGCAAAGTTGCTGTACAAGTGAACACGGTTGCCTGTCGTCGCAAAATGCAAGTTGACCATCACACACCGATCGATGCTTCACCAATTTTCATAGCCGTTGTTGATGCTGCCCATACACTGATCGATGCTTCCCAATTTGTTATAGCCGTTGACAATGATGATGCTGTTGCTACTGTTGCTACTGCTGGTGGTGGTGGCGCTGCTGCTACTGTTGCTACTGCTGCAGTGCACACACTGGTGGAGGGGAGGGGGGGGGGGGGTACTTACAGCAGGGAACTCTGTCCATCACTAAAGTGCCGCCGGCATACAGCACTTGCTGCCGGTGTTGTGACTAGGCATGGAATACATAGCGCACTGGTGGACCAGTAACATCTTCTTGATCTGGCCCACAGAAAGCCACTGTCAAATCTGTATACTCATCGTCACCGCTGCGCTTGACATACTTCTCCACACTGTGCCGGCAAGAAGCAGCAAAACATCAACATACCGGTACTAATTCAATTCAAATTCTACGCTATAAAGCGACGGACATCCACCTCCTACCCCCCCCCCTTCCTATTGACATCATACCGTCCACCCATCCTACCGTATTATCTCTAATATAAGCACGGTCCTTTATTTTTTCAATGTACCTCCGCCCCGTGCTATTAATGGAGACGTTCCTTTATTGGAGACTGTTCCATTATTATTTCAACCTCATTTCAGAGGCATGTTGCCATGCCAAATTCATGTATGACACACACATTTCAGGTTTTTTTTCGCCAGTACAGATAATGAATTTACACAGTGTGCTTATAATGGAGACTGAGCACTTTATTTTTTGAATGCCGCCCCAAGGTGTTCTATTATTGGAGACGTGCTATTATTGGAGACTGTGCTTATATTAGAGATAATACGGTATGCACATCCTACACTCGCTTTCATACGGCTACTGTGTGTTAATGTTGTTGTTTGTATATGTACATGCAAATACATACGCTCTAGCTTGCCTTCATGTTGCTATAATTATAAATTTATAATGGCCAGGTCTGCCCCTTGTAAAATCGTTCTGATGATGACTGGCCCGAGACGTCACAGTTTTATATCAATAAACTACCAAATTAGTGTATATAACTGCTCCTTGGCAGACTTCCACTTTATATTGCATCCTGATGATGGCAATTTGCCGAAACATTGAAAATGATTCTGTGAAATGAAATGAGTTGTGAATTTGCAGTGCCCAGGGAATGAGCATGTGTGCTCACCAATTCTTTTCGAAACTATTAATTTGTTCAAGTAACTCAGCGCAATGAGTGCATTAAGTGCAGCGAGTAGCAGCTGAATAGAGCAGTTGTCAGTTGACAACTGCCGCTTTCTTTCATGAACTGTAGTATGAAGGTCAAATCTATACTACACCATTCAATGACACTGCTACTCCGAGTACACCATTCAATGACACTGCTACTCCGAGTACACCATTCAATGACACTGCTACTCCGAGTACACCATTCAATGACACTGCTACTCCGAGTACACCATTCAATGACACTGCTACTCCGAGTACACCATTCAATGACACTGCTACTCCGAGTACACCAGTCAATGACACTGCTACTCCGAGTACACCATTCAATGACACTGCTACTCCGAGTACACCAGTCAATGACACTGCTACTCCGAGTACACCATTCAATGACACTGCTACTCCGAGTACACCATTCAATGACACTGCTACTCCGAGTACACCATTCAATGACACTGCTACTCCGAGTACACCATTCAATGACACTGCTACTCCGAGTACACCATTCAATGACACTGCTACTCCGAGTACACCAGTCAATGACACTGCTACTCCGAGTACACCAGTCAATGACACTGCTACTCCGAGTACACCATTCAATGACACTGCTACTCCGAGTACACCATTCAATGACACTGCTACTCCGAGTACACCATTCAATGACACTGCTACTCCGAGTACACCATTCAATGACACTGCTACTCCGAGTACACCATTCAATGACACTGCTACTCCGAGTACACCATTCAATGACACTGCTACTCCGAGTACACCATTCAATGACACTGCTACTCCGAGTACACCAGTCAAGAAGACTGAAACTGATCAGTGAGAAGTGTGACAAGACGGAATGGAAGGGGTACGTACGGTTGAGTGAGTCGTTTCTTGTGTCCTGGCATGACCGGAACGTAAACCATCTTCACTCCATGCACCAGCATCGTGGGTTCTAAGCCAAACTTGGCCTGCACACGGATAACAGCAGACATGACACATGAAAGCAACATTATGCCGCCGGCAATAGCGGGAAAATTAATTAATGTCTTCCAAACGTCATGGTTTGAAAGTATTTCAACATTATAGTCATGCTTATCAACTCTTCACGTGAAATGAAAACTGAAGGAAATTGTAAAACTGACCAATGTCAGGTCATGTCACGTGATCTTTACAATGATGACTAGCAGATTTGCCAGCACCCGCCCAACCGATATTATTGTCAGTTGTGCTGGATCGGCATCTGGTAGTTTTGAGGTCACACAACTATACAATCATGACTCTGTCCGCGTAGAACACTGTACTCCGCAGCTGGTTGATGATCGGTTCAGCAAAGAACCTCAAACTGATGACCACCACCACCACCACCACCGTCATGGTCACATATTCACCTTTGCAATCAAGTGAATCAATCAATTGCATGTGTACAAAACACTAATTCATACTCCTATCGAAGTCTGTGTACTGCCACACTTCCTTCTCACCACCAGTACAATAGTGTGAAGGTAAAGGCGGGGAAAGACTAGTGCAATCTTAACCCTTTCAGCATGCATCACGTATATGTACGTGATGGTACATGTAACTGGCCCACGGATCACGTATATATACGTGATGCGTACAGTGAAAATGAACGTGCTCCCGAGACATCCGTGGTCGACGGATCTTGTCCCTACGTGGACCAGTGACGTGCTGGATGAACGTCGACTGTTCTGCGATAGTGCTGACGGGCGCACGTGTGCCGCTATGCACGCGTGCTAGTACATAGATGTCGCGTGCGAACATGCATTCCGCAGGAAAAATTGTGAGTGGATAGGACTACTTTTGGAAAATCACGAAAGTCACTGGTTTTGGCTCCGCGGGTCGGTTGCACACCCTGGCCGTGCTGAAAGGGTTAAGATAGGGAAAGGTGGATGCAAGAAACCTGAAGATGCACATCACCAGTCAGTGCTGCCTGCCCCCAAAACACAACACACAGTCTGTGCAGCTGGCACACTACTAACACAACACACAACACACAGTCTGTGCAGCTGCATGGCATACTGCTAACACAACACACGGGACACAGTCTGTGCAGCTGCATGGCATACTACTAACACAACACACAGGACACAGGCTGTACAGCTGCATGGCATACTGCTAACACAACACACAGGACACAGGCTGTACAGCTGCATGGCATACTGCTAACACAACACACAGGACCCAGGCTGTACAGCTACATGGCATACTGCTAACACAACACACAGGACACAGTCTGTGCAGCTGCATGGCATACTGCTAACACAACACACGGGACACAGGCTGTACAGCTGCATGGCATACTGCTAACACAACACACAGGACACAGGCTGTACAGCTGCATGGCATACTGCTAACACAGGACACAGGCTGTACAGCTACATGGCATACTGCTAACACAACACACAGGACACAGTCTGTGCAGCTGCATGGCATACTGCTAACACAACACACAGGACACAGTCTGTGCAGCTGCATGGCATACTGCTAACCTTCACTTGTGACATGAGTTCCTGCAAAGTCATTGTGCTGCTGCCCTGGATCTCCCATTTATCCCACAAGGTTGTGTATACTCCTGGCCTGCACAAGTAGAGAAAACGAATACCCAGTCAATACGCAGCGCATGAACACACAGCCAGCCATTACGCAGTGCATGTACACACAGCCAGCCAACACATCCTTCTCATACGCTATGCATGTGTGTTCTGCAATTTATGACGAAAATACTAAGTCAATTGACATGAATGCAGAAGACGACGTATGAAGTTGCAGCTTTACATTGACTTTTCTAATTATCCAACTTTTCATGCATGAGTGTGAGCTTGTTGTTGCTTGCACAATGGTGAAAAGGTGTGCAAGCAGCTTCATTATCTCCAATAAAAGGTATTGTGGTATTGCTGATTCGGTTTATGTGAACCAACACCACAATCACTAACGAGATTAGTACAGTACATGTATATGAGCTGTGTTCATGCACCAAGCACAGCTGCATTAGGGAACAGGCGAATATATCCCACTAACTCCGCCACCCTACCACTGATCAAGAGCTCTGATACAATAGCCCTATTTGCAATACACGTGCAGGGGTGAATTTACTGTCATATTTTTGCATAGTAGTTTCTGCTATACAAAGTCACAATTGTCTAGCAGTCTTTGATTTTGATTAGCATTTTTTCTTTGAAGGTTGGGTGTTTACCAGATTGTCCTTCTTGAGAGTGATGCCTGAAAGCCCATTTGCAAAAAAACGACTGAAGCATATAATTATGTGCGCACAGATTGAGAGTATCTTGCACCACCTACATTGCACTGTATGCATGTTACTTCATAGCGCAGGCTAAGCATGGATAGTCTGTATGTATCGCAGTTTTCTGCGAGTCACGGTGACATTTGAGTAGCAGTTAGATCGATTTTGCATAGCAAACTGTGATGCGATACAGGATAAATTCATCCCTGCCGTGCCATTAGTAGCCCCACTACTATCGATTATGACTGAACCAATTCTTTACTATCAATTTGATCCAGCCCTTCCCGTCCCTCCATATCACATCCAACCCTCATGGACACAGTGAGCACACATTGAATGGGAACACAGACCAACGCATAGGGCAAGAGCGGCTAATAGGCATGGGGTGTTGGATTTCACACGTACATGACTTGATTGCGTAGGGCCGCGGCTGGTTCCGACAGGATGATGGCGGGGATAGCAAGATTGAGAAAACCGTTGCGATATGATGACATCTCCAGACCCATTGCAACTTTGACCAGCTCGATCGTTACCTGGCGGAAAGAGGAGGACAGAGAGAAAAAGGACAGGACTTGACATAGAGTCAGCGCATCTGCTTGTGTTTAGCTCAGGGGTGGTGTAAACATGTCCAGGTAGTACAATACTGACAGTTTGCATGCTAGCAGACATTGCATGCTAGCAGGCATTGCATGCTAGCAGACATTGCAGTGTGTTTAAAAGCGCAGGAACACATGTCAGCAGCCAAAACACAAAATTGCGTCGAGCGCTCCAGCCAGCGTGCACTTAGACCTAGAACCAGCCTGGGACTGTTATGTCGAGTTGGATAGTATTGAAGACCAAAGAGAATAATGATACGTACATACTTATGCTGGCATATGAATCGTGATAATGATACATAAATTAGAAATTAGGTTGTGCTGATGGGGCACATGTGGAATCCTGATAATACGAACCCAAAATGCGCGTTTCTGGGTATGGTGACAGGATGCCTACTTGAATGTTAGGGTTACACACCTTTTTTTTTAAAGACGTCCCTGTTTTCTCCTTAAAATACTAATCATGGTGTGAGGGCAACGGAGGAGGAGCGCGGGTCCTTTCCACCACTGGTCTCTACCACGACTGTGAGGTCTGTGAGGTCTGTGATAACTGTGATGACTGGGATGATGGCCCCGGAGTGCCCACTGGTAATAGAGGAGTTGGTCCAGAGGATGGCTGAGAAAAAACAGTGACATCCCTTACAGCATTCTCGCGTCAAAGCTTTGGTGCGAACTTACGTATTAGGGAGGTTTCGCTCTACGTAATTACGTATGAAAATCCGTATGTCGTACGCGCCGGGGAGCGAGGGCAACTTTCATACGTAAATCTCTCTACGGATTTCCATAGGAAAGCTCTTTCCTACGTTGGGTCCTCCGTAGGACTTTTCGAAATATTTTTCGCATTTTCCGGCTTTATCCATGGCAACGTTCAAGCCGCGCGAAACACAAGGCACACACACACCGTACACCACGTGCAAAATTACATGGAAAACGCGGTTTCGGTTCGTGGTGCATGCGGTGGGCGCATGCAGCCAACGCGTCTCCAAAGCAACACGGCATGTTTAGCAGTCGTGGAGAAATCACGTAGAGCGAAACCCAACAGCTCTGATTTGTACGTATGAAAATTACGTGCACCTCCTACGTTATTTTCATACGTAATTCCGTAGAGCGAAACCTCCCTACTACTCTGTAGGGTGACCCGGTCATTATTTTGAAGTACGTGTATGCGCGGGAGCTAGCTGGCCAACCCATGTCGTCGCAGTGGGCCGGGTGTGGTGTCCGAGTGTCACCTCATCAGGCATTGAACTCATGAAACTATTGAGCACCATCGGTCCTCCACAGTGGTACTCACACATGACTGGCGACCTCTTCCTTTACAGTGGGGTGTGGTGGGTTTCTTTTTTTCGTGGTGTTATTGTTGTTCTCGCATCCCTCTGTTGAGCTTGAAAAGAACATTGCGTCCAGTACAAGAGCACAACTCACCAATCCTGCAACGGCCGCAGTAGTAGTGGCAATGGCAGGAACAATGCGGCCAGCAATGAGCTTAGTCTTGAGGCGATCCACAGGAGCAATACTGTACACTTCGGCACGGAGATTCTACACGAAGACAGCAAGCACCAACAACAAAAGATCAAAATAAGAGACTATGCGTGTATTCATGTTCACATTCACAGACACAATCACTGCGACTGGCACAAGATTACCTCATCATGAAGAAAATCTCTACAATAGCACAGCTACCGATATGTAACATGCTAGACAGCTGCCGGTACTGATGCTGCTGCTGCTGCTGCTCATGTTCAAATACCAGAGTATAGTACGTGTATCAGGGCCTGTCATACCGTCGTGTGAACCAGTCCGGTAATGCGGGCATGGGTTCTTCTCGTACAGTGGCATGACATACATTCATGCTCAGAATAGTTTCATCACACTGTCGAGCTGCAGTGTCCGCTGGAACTCAGGGAAACAGCAACACGGTATGGTCATCTGTAAGCACCAGTTGACACATGCCCAGTCTGCAGGACTACGTACTCTTCTACGCACTGCTTGCATAAATGATAGCGTCAGCTATAAAGGTGATCACGCTGATCAGAAAATGACCTCATTTTGCAAGGAAATGGGGGGGGGGGGGGCGGGGGGGATCGGCTTTTCTGAAAACATGGGTGTGACGTGACGACCGTGTGTACCAATCTTGTAACAGCAAAGTCAGCCAGCAGGAATGTGAATGACAACATGCCAAGATGTACACCAATGAGAACCGGTATGCCACGGAGCATGCAGCATGTACTACCGGTACCTAGGCTGTGACTCACAGAAGTAGCCGTAATGAAATCAATATGATGATTGGAGTCATCATCCTTTTCAAACGCCTCCGGGCACATCCGCAGCATGTCTAAAGGAAATCGAATCATCCGTATGCACACACACACAACACACATACCGTATTATCTCCATTATAAGCCCAGCGCATATTTTTTCAACCAGTCCGGACCCTGGGCTTTTATTGGAGACTGGGCTTCTACTAGAGACTGGGCTTGTAATTTTTCAACCACCTGGTACACGTACATTGCCTATCATTTTTCATTATATCAGCAGCAGAAAGTTTCCCAGCAGGTACCGGGACTGCAGTTTTGTGCTTCCTGGTACACTGAGTCTGCACTTTACATCTCCAGGTTCACAGACTTTTACCACAGCATGTGTTTATATGATACTGGGTGACGTCAAACATGCATGAACATGACCCATACGGTTCTCCATTATAAGCCCTGCGCTTATATTGGAGACTGCGCTTGTATATCTTCGAAGCCCTCTTGGAGTGCGCTTATAATAGAGACTGGGCTTCTACAGGAGACTCCGCTTGTAATGGAGATATCGAGAATTTCACTGGGCCAAAATAGCCATCTGACAGCATACTTTCAACATCACAAATAACCACAACTCGCGAATAACGACACTTTTCTCATGCACGATCGATGGTGGTTATTTGCAAGGTTGACAGTACAGACATGTGCATATAGTGGCCTGCACATACACACGTACAGTTACACCATAGCAGTTTGTACCATGTGCAAAGTCATACTTAGGCGAGACCAAACCGAGAGAGCTTGGAAGCTCAGGGCCCTACGCTATGCTTTTTTGCCTTGATGACCTAGACAAAAAAAGCATAGAGATGTTATAAATTCTTATAAATTTCTCCTTTTTTTTTAGAGACATAACCTGGGATTCAAACCCGCACTATCGCTCTGCATGCATCCCCCGATACCAAGAGTACATAACCCCCCAGAGTGTGCAACTCCACTATGGGTGCTGTCCCGACAGAATTTCAAGTTGACGTCATTTTGATGATGCAATGCGCACTGTACACGGATTATCAGACGAATCCGGAACCTGTGGTTGACCGAAGCCGATCGATCCTGTACAAATTATTGCAAAGAAAAACGTGTGATGCGTTGACACCCGTACACATGTTGTAGATCACTGCTGCAAGGAGCATTGCGTCATAAATAATGACGTCAACTTGAAATTCTGTCGGGACAACAGGGTATGTGGGAGTTGCACACTCTGGTGGGTTATGTACTCTTGCCGATACACTTCGCATATATACTAATTCTTCCAAGTTGCTTCACGTTATGATCTTGCATTTGAAAGCCCTATTTGAATATGCATTGTGGCCAGCCGTCTTTGATGGTACGGTACGGGACAGGTACGATCGAGGGTAATACGACACCGTCTACCGCCTTAATGACCTAGGCAAAAAAAGCATAAGGATGTTATAAATTTTTCAATTCTCCTATTTTTTTCAGGCATAACCTGGGATTCGAACCCGCACTATCGCCCTACATGCATTCCCCCATACACTTCGCATTCATACGCATTCTTCCAAGTTGCTTCACGTTATGATCTTGCGTTTGAAAGCCCTATTTGAATATTGCGGCCAGCTGTATGTGGCCAGCTGTGTTTGATGGTACGGTACGGGACAGATACGGGATAGCGCCAGGCGTGACACAAACACACAAACAAATACCAAATTAAAGCTGTGTGGACCCTGGCTAGCGCCAGACGTTACTGAAGTAACGTCTTCTGCATAGCTACGGGAATATAATCGAGATTCCCGGGCAGGGCCCATGTGAAACTGGTGCAGGCGGGCGAATTTTATATTTTATATATTTTTTTACTATGTGCCGTATTTTCTCTAATAATAGCGCAGTCTCTAATAGTAGCGCAGGGCGCTGGTTGATTGAAAAAATAAAGGCGCAGTCTCTAATAGTAGCGCGGGTCACAATTTGAATACAGTCAACTTCGCTTATAACGACACTCGGCGGGGCATCAAGAAAGTGTCCTTATTCGCGAAGTGTCGTTAGACCCGAAGCCTCTTTATATGTATTACAGTTGGAAGGGACTTTGCTCTGGGCATGGAAATGCTGTCGTTATTCGCGAATTGTCGTTATATCCGCAGTCGTTATTAGCGAAGTTGACTGTATGCAACAAGTATATTGACTGCATATAAAACAGCAGTACAACATGCCAAGAACATTATTCGTAAGGTTTTCGGTCTACTGCTTCCTTCCTGGCGCGAATGCTATTGTGAAAAATCTGTTTTGACAATATTCCTGAGTTTAGGGTTGAAAAATCGGTCTTGATATGGTCAGTTTATGCCTGTATAGACTGGAGTTGGCTTGATAGTTGACAGTTGAAAAAATAAGAGCCCAGTCTCTAATAGTAGCGCGGGTAGAGCTGTCACTGAAAAAATAAGAACCCCGGGCTCTTATTAGAGAAAATACGGTATGTACTATGTATGTATGCATTGCATGCTGACCATTTTTTACAGTGCTTCCGATAATTTTTTTAGTTTTTTTTAATCCTTATCCGACCGGCCAGTCAAAATTCGACAACTATCCGTCGATGACTTTAACAAGCTATAACTCACTTATTTTTAATCGAATCTGCACCATTTTGGTCTCAAAAGAAGCTAGAAAGACCCGCCATTCATTTGCAAAAACCCGGAGTGTGATAGAATGTTCCAAAGAGAAGTTATAAGTCTCTGAATGAGGGCTGTTTTCACACCGCGTACAAAACACGTTTCCAAAAGGTGTAACTTTGGCAATGATTATATTGCCCTCTTAAAACTTTGCCTGGGGGCTTCCCTGATGGTATATTCAAAATGTGTTAGCATGAAAGTACAAAATTAGGTCTACAAATAGTCCACATGTCGATGAGCCGTGCTTCTCTTAAAAAATGGAAGTGGAGATGGATTTTTGTTCCTCTCGCAAATGAAGGCTAGAAACTGTTTCTAGAGAACTCTTCATGGCTCAAGCTTTCCAAAAAGCCCAAGATTGCCCATATCACCCAAGGGAAACTAAAGCTATCAACAAAATGAGCCGCGGCATCTCGCTGGGACTGAGAATTTGTCCACTTTGACGGTCGGAAAAGGGTTAAAGAGAACATGTACAGTAAAACCTGTAACTAACGACCACCCCTTGGGACCAGAGAAAGCGGTCTTTAGTGGCAGGTGGTCCTTAGTTAGAGGTTTGCACCGCACAACCATGTATGGATGTGAGACCGTCTGTACCCGGCAAAGCGGTCTGTAGTAGCAGGCTGGTCGCTAGTCACGGTGGTCTGTAGTAGCAGGCTGGTCGCTAGTCACGGTGGTCTGTAGTACCAGGCTGGTCGCTAGTCACGGTGGTCTGTAGTACCAGGCTGGTCGCTAGTCACGGTGGTCTGTAGTACCAGGCTGGTCGCTAGTCACGGTGGCCTGTAGTACCAGGCTGGTCGCTAGTCACGGTGGTCTGTAGTACCAGGCTGGTCGCTAGTCACGGTGGTCTGTAGTAGCAGGCTGGTCGCTAGTCACGGTGGTCTGTAGTAGCAGGCTGGTCGCTAGTCACGGTGGTCTGTAGTAGCAGGCTGGTCGCTAGTCACGGTGGTCTGTAGTTACAGGTTTCACTGTACATGTACACGTATGCGGTTTACCAGTACAATTTTCGTATTTTGGCCAACAACGGCCCTAAGACTCACATCAGGGAGTCGTACAAGCCCGGGTTTGTGTGACTCCCTGTCACAGATCTACTTACACGATCAGTATTGTACATGTACATGAACTGTTCAAAAAAATGACTTCGGCTCGATTTTGGTGCGGGAGGGCCCGGGAATCTCTATTTTGTTTGGTCTCGCCTTATGAACATACACAAATAGAGATTGGCAAAGACGTTTCTATCAGTTCGAACAGCACACAGGACGACCTAGGTAAAAACAAAGCATAGCGAGGACTTCTGGGCTTCCAAGCCCTCTCGTTTCCAGTCAAAATGACTCTGGATAAGAGGACCAGCTGTACACGGGGACCACAATTGTAAGGTCTTTTGAGCAGTGGTCGGCTTAGACAGGTTTCACTGTACAGTCAAACGTGTTTAGGACCAACGCCAAGGGGCCGGTGGTATTTGTTTGCAATAACGGAAGTTCTTTTTATCCATATTTTATACCCAGTGAATACACAGTGTTTTCTGCAATAAAGTTATGAACACTAGTTCTTCTAAAGCGAAAGTTTGTCTTATCGGTGCTCTTCTTAACGAGGTTTCGCTGTATAATCACTACGGAGATTTGCCAAGAATAGACGTAAACAGTGGACATACTGCAAGTATCACACACTAGCTGCGAAGTGCGCTTCAAATGAGCAAGAATTCAAGTCTGAGTAACTTCATACGTAGCTATATGCACTGTCCTCCACTATCACATACCCGGCTTGATATCGACTTTGCGCAGAAAGCTGGCCAAGTTAGATGTAGATTTCTCAATTGCATCTTCAGTCACATCGGTCTCGGCAGGAGCAGCAGCCTTCTCATCGGTCTCGATTTTCTGATCAGAAAGCACAGCATAGGCAGTACAGGTAGTACACAGTGGTTTAACACATCATATCATTCTCCCACCTCAACACACCACACCATACTACCTTAAGCAAACCTGCAAACAAGGGGAGCTTGATGCCTCGGATAGGATCTCAGTTGTACGCCATTACAAACTGAGCAATCATTGATTGAGGTTCTGTAGACTGTGAGAAGATCACATAAGGTTAGAATTTGCCCAGCCTGTACTGGCTGTGATTTGCACTCTAGTCATCATCAAGCATCTTACCTTTCCAGAGGGACGGAATTCTGGGACAGACACTTCTTTGAGCAACGAGTGCAGACTAGCGGACTCCAAGTCCTTTGAACAGCAAAACACAACACATGCAACACATTACCATACACACTACAAACAATGCTCTGAGTTCCGAACAAAAGGAAACGATCGTCACAGTTCAAATTCGCGCTGCTATTCACTTCACTTCAAATACTTGAAGTACATATTTATCCTTTGATGTTTCAGACTGAATCTATGACATAACAACGTCGCTGTAGAGTAAGCCAGGGCAGGGAATGGACAGGGCGGGCAGGGCAGGGCAGGGCGGGCAGGGCGAGCAGGGTAGGGAATGGGCAGGGCAGGCAATAAGCATGTGCCATTAGTAATCACCTCACACCTACACCTACATGCAGATGTAGAGGTAACTGGGCAAAATGATAATTAGAATACATGTGCACGTGGCTAATCACACCTGCCGGTACCTTTCAGAGACTGTAGTAGTCTAAGCTAAGAGATACACATATGATGCCAATCCACAAACGTATAGGTGGCTCAGGTGCAACAGTGAAGAATGAGGAGCATGAATGTGTGTAAGCTATTGGCCCAAGAACATATGATCCGACCTAAGCTCAGGGACACATGGATCTGACCTAAGCGCAACAAGTACCGTACTGGCAATATATATGGTCGCAGTGAGGCCATGAAGCGTTACATTGGCACATGTTTACCGCACGCAGGGCGTTACATGCAAAGTCGCACAGGAGCCGTTACACAGGTTTCTATATTGCCGCAGTCCTTTTTTTGCTATTGCAGGACTTCCTGCTGCGTCCAGTTTTGAACTTTTCACCACGCGGTACACGTGCTTTCACAGTTTTCAGCCTTTTTTGCAATGAAAAGATCGCCGCACCCCGCCGGACGCGCGTTACGAACGCAACGAAAATTTGTCGCACTAGCCTGGTCGCGCGTTACGCCGCACCCCTGCGTTACGCGTTACGCGGCAACATATATTGCCAGTACGGTACTGTACAATAGTAGAGATTTACGTTGAACTTGAATCATGCCACCATCCCTCACCTCTGTCGAGTAGCTGACTGCACAAACGTTGGCCCGCAAGCATGCGTAGCTGGTGACAAACTGCATATGCCTGTTACAAAAGCACAATCATGCACACAAATAATTGAAATAGTATTGGCACTCCAGCAAAGTACGCTTCATTAAGCCTGGTGTAAATTTGTGCCTCTGAAAATGCTTTTCATTGTAAAAAGGTTTGGCCCCATCCCTTTGTGCTGTGCAGGTAGGAGAAACTCTGCGGATTACGATACACACTGACACATGCATTGCATGTACATGATAGCTGTTACATGCCTAATCTCAAAGTGAGAGTTCCGTCCACAGCTTCTGTATGCTCAACATCAGAGATGGAGCAGTGGCAAGAAGTGATCAAGCAACAAGCAGATGAAACCGTCTGCTGAGTGCGGAAGCATACAATTCAGAAGAGTATTTTCCTTGCCCGATGCTTGGCAACTAGTAACTACTGGCATCAACATACTCAACGTACAATGCTCATGGGAGACTCTGGGCAGATACACATGTTGGAATACCTGATTTGAGAACAAGAAAAGGACGATTTTTATTTGCGCACGGTGCTGTGTGAGCTATACGAGATTCAATCTGATCGAAAGCGTAAGACTGTGGTGGTGGTGGTGGTGGTGGTGGTGGTGGTGGTGGTGGTGGTGGTGGTGGTGGTGGTGGTGGTGGTGGTGGTGGTGGTGGTGGTGGTGGTGATGATGATGGTGGTGGTAGTGGTGGTGGTGGTGGTGGTGGTGGTGGCGGCGGCGGTGGTGATGATGGTTGTGGTGGTGGTGGTGATGGTGGTGGTGGTGGTGGTGATGGTGGTGGTGGTGGTGGTGGTGATGGTGATGATGGTGGTGGTGGTGGTTGTGGTTGTGGTGGTGGTGGTGGTGGTGGTGGTGGTGGTGGTGGTGGTGGTGGTGGTGGTGGTGGTGGTGGTGGTGGTGGTGGTGGTGGTGGTGGTGGTGGTGGTGGTGGTGGTGGTGGTGGTGGAGATGTTCTGCACCCATGTTGGAAACACTATAATAGCCGGAATAGGCAGATATAACATATAAACCAACAGCTGGAACCTGTAACATTTGTTCACACTCCATTCGTAACTTAGAATACAAGCTGAAGCAAACCAGTTTTGCTTTTTGCATACAACTCCCTTTAGGAACACAGGGTCAAAAAAGCACACATCAAAAGGGCAAAGTCCCGGGGGCAACTTGGACAATTCTGCCATCACGTCAAAATCGGCGGAATACGATTCTGGGATACTGAGAGCAGGACGGTGTGCAGCCAGCACTTGTGTCATGCTAGAGCAGCACGGACTTATTAGGAAAGACAACAACAACAACAACAACACATGCTCACTTACAGTTCATTCTCTACATCAAAGTTGAGTGGAGTTGGTGGGCGCTTCGGAGACTGCCAGAATAGAGCTGATGGCAATGAAGAGGACAGGTGGGCGCACAGATAACATGTGACAAATGTGTACCGTGCATGGGCACACAGGTATACTGTGCATGCAGTGTTACATGAAATAGACGCTGGCGTGTCTAAAACCTTTGTTTCCAGCCGGGCAAGCCCTTTTAAGAACTTGCAGCAAACACGTTTGGGCGATTTTCTAGCTGGGATGTTCTTCGATTCCGTAGGGGCTACACAACCTCAGCAATGGGGCAGGCACATACGAGTACAGGAGATGCACTGGACATTCGGGGGTTGCTATACATCGACACTGGGTAGACACATACAAGAGTGAGCCATATTATTTGTAGATGTACTCAATGGTTCGGGGTTGTAATACCTCAGAACAAAGTCCACACACACACAAGACCCTACCCTATTTGCATCATTCACTACTGCTACATTTTAGGATCATTTTCCAAGCGTTATCACTTTAAAAAAAGTGATAACGCTTGGAAATGATCCTTGCGTTTGCCATATCTAGCATGTGGTAAGAATCTCCCAAGGTTATATAATTATAGGCGTACACAGTGTAGAAGACGTCCTAGTAGGGAGGAACGTGAAAGAAAAAGATCCGCTTTCTTGTTTGCTACTAGAACACATTCATAAAGTGCCTTATTGAAGTTTAACTTTCAAAGCTAGACTCACTTCCATCTGTCATAGTTGTGTCCAGAGGAAATGCGGACAGCAGGTCTCTAGGCTGTAACACAGGGGAAGATGGAGAAGTACAACATTGTAGTCTCATACAAAGGCAATACTACGCTTACGCCAAAGGAGTGCAACCAACGGGTAGCTGCCATAACTCATTTTTCTTCAGAACTTCGTTGTTCATGATGTGACCAACTCTGGTTATGCATTCACATTGTGAGGTTGAGCACGTTGAGTGCGGCTTGGTAAGTAGCCAGGTGCATTACATAACGGAAAACGATGGACTTCTGAAAATGTTGTGATGAAGGTTGAAGAGGAGTTACATACTCTGGGAAGCTCTCTTTGTATCCGAGAATGGATCAACCAAAGCTGTTTCACCTTGACTACTCGATGGAGAACATCCATCATGCTGCCAAGTGACAGAACATACAAGTTCAGAAGTTCAGACTGGTGGAGATGACCGAGAAACTGATCAAGCGAATGCGCTGGAAAGCGCTCTTCTTTTTAAGGGCGGCCTAGAGCATCGCCAGGATGCAGACAACCACCACAGATTTAAGACGAGAAAGTGCCCATTACGGGTGGAAGACATGAACAAGTTTGAGGCTGAACTGTGGTCCACGGTGGACACCGTGAAGTTCCACAGAGTGAGCAATGAACTCCAGAGCAGACTTAAAGGGGAAGTTAAGGCAAAAATTAAAATTTCACCAGTTGTAGTCTTCGGGGTGCCGAGTCGAATGGTCGTGGTCCGAGGAAGCTGAGACGCTCCCTTCCTACTTGAAACCCAATCGAACTCGCGCACTTCCACCGAAACTGGGTGACTGCGCCCTACTAGATGGGGATTTGTATGCAAAATGTCACTAAAAGCGCCATTTCGTTCTTATAAAAGCATGGATGACCGCGATTGGCCCATATGTTGTAGTCTTTTGGACGCTGAGTCGATTGGTTTTGGTCCGAAAAGGCTGCGATGCAGCGTTCCTCCTTTATTCCCAATCGAACATGGTTGAACAAGCGGTCACGTGCTCCTGCGTACACCAGTCACCTGGTCACCGTGCCTGCAGGGTACAACTTACTAGCCTGTTTGACCTTTTTTGGGTGCAGTCCTGTCACTCGAGTTGAACCTTGGTGTGAAAGTTGTCGCCTGCAGGCGTGGTGACCAGGTGATTTGGGCACCCAGGAGCACGTGACCTCTTGTTCAACCACGTTTGATTGGGAATAAAGACAAACAAACAACAAACTATTGAATGATAACGTAACGAAACACTACACGCATGCTTCAGACCACGCCTGTGGGGAAATCAACAAAGAGGCAAATGAGATTGCGGAAAACCTCCATATTGCAGACAGAAGCGAAGTATTGGTGCAGAAGGATGCCTAGGTGACATTGAAAGACCATAAGGAAATTTCCAGCAGAGCCTACAATGCCGACTGATAAATCCCTCCAAAAGTGAAATCGGCAGATAGCAAAACGATACTGTCGCGACTTGTCCGAGATGTAAGGAACGTGTTGTCAATCAACTCATGACATAGCGGCAGTAATTGACTGGTTTCAAGCTATAGAGAGGAAGCTGAAATGTACATTTGTCTGTTTCAATCCTGTAGAATATTATCCGTCTACTTCAGAAGGTCTTCTCCTGCACACTATCGCAATTGCCGAGCAACATGCCAGTATTAGCAAGCAAGAAAGGCGCATCCTCTGTGCCTAAGAGAGAAGCTAGAGATCCTGCACGAGGACACGCTTGTCAATATCAACAAAAGATCGTAGCTAGTCAGCAAGTGCAGGCATGACAATAAGTACTACCGGTAGCTTTCAAAATTCTCGCCACCAGCCATCACATCAACTTTTCAGTGTTCACGCCACACACGTGAGGTGCTGTTTATAATCATCCCACTGCCTTTCCCTTCACCTCCCTCAAAAGACCATGTGGACGCATGCGCCTAAGCCTAAAGTATATTCTGCTTGCGCCTCTTACTACATCACCCCACCCAACTCAGACACATGCATACCTGGTACCACACTATTGGCCCATACCATTCACTCACGCTATGATCCAAGCTTGCTGCAGCCTGTATCAATCACATCTTCGGAAAATTGTAGTCAAGTTGCTGTCTGATGATGGGTAAAACCGTGAAACCCAGTTTACAGCAGAAACGCTTTGATTCATTATTTCAAGTGAGTTTACTCTGGGGAGTTATGGATGCTAATGTGATGTGATTACACATACGGACATTGGCTGTGGCAAGCAAAACAATACAGCATGGCGTCCACTACACCTGTGCAATACAAGACTGGATACGTTGCAATATTTTTTTAAGAAACAAGGTGTGCACACTCAGGGTAATGGACTGGCCAAGCTCTCCCCAATGCTCGGTGTAGGTGGCAGAATTCTCATCACGAAACATATTACTCAAGCTGACTAATACGCCTGCACACAAAGTTGCCCCGGGTGAAGTTGAACACAGGAATAGACTGGTTGAGTAGTGCACTTAGTCGATCCCACTATCTGAGTTTGATTGTTAGATTTAAAAAAGTTGACGTATTACCAGGTATATACGCTTGCTTACTATTATACAGTAAAACCTGGTGTAAGCGACCTCTCGTTTTAGCAACCACCTGCTCTTAACGACCGTTTTCCATGCACAGACAGTTCTACACAGACACTGTGGGAGCTGGTTCTAAAGACCACCTCGCTTTAACGACCGCTTTTCCTTGCACCGTGGGGCGGTCGCTTAGACCAGGTTTTACTGTATATAAAAGCTAAGAAAATACGGTGCTCCAGTCAGCTCACACATTCGTACGATTATTCTGTCCAGCTGAAACCCTGATTTACTTGCTCCGGTAAATTAGATTCAGCAGTCATAGTTAGAGTGTGATGAGAGAAGGAACACACAACTGATGTAGTTACCTGATGGTTGAAGAGTTTTTCAAACTTGATCCTTGCCTGAGCTGCACACTGTGACCATGTAGATGGTCGATTACACAATAACCTTGTGGCAGGCAGTGCGTTCTCAGGAATAGAGTTGTTTAGCAGCACCTACAATACCAACAACCACACCCGTGTGTGCACATACACACATGTAATGCACACATATGCACACCCACCCACCCACGCACGCAGACATGCACGCACGCACACGCGCGCACGCACACACACACACATACACACACATACATATGCACAAACACACACAAACACACACATATGCACAAACACACAAACACACACACACACACACACACACACACACACACACACACACACACACTTGGAAATGCAAGCGGCATAAGACTACATATCACAAGCTGTAGTAGCTAAGACTCGGAAATCTCCATGATACAAGAAAAGTATCTCACCTTCAGCACGTCGTCTGGTGATTTGTTCACTTGCCAGAAGCGACTGAACATGCCAGGCTTCTGTGTGAATGCTGTCTCAAACTAGATGAGCACAACATAGGACAGGGAAGAGAAACATGCTTTAGTCACACAGCGTCCTTAAGGGCCCATCCATAAATACCAATGCTTTTAACTAACATAAAAACCTGTGCTCATTGGTGGTGGGTCACCACCAGTTTCGTTAAAACAAATCAATGACAGTAATTGTGTACTCGGGTCTCAGTCATGTTTTCCGCTTCAGAGGGTAGGTGGTTGTGGGTCGTAATTTAACTTTTTAGCTCCGTGAAAACAATCGATAATGCCGGATGGCCCCTAAGAAAAGACCCAGCCACTACAAACTCGTGGAAAAAGCTCCAGCAACCATCATGTCCTGTGAGGCAAATCAGGTGAATTCTTACAGAGCAGCTCATGTCTATTCCCATACAGAAGGAGGAGGAGGAGGAGGAGGAGGAGGAGGAGGAGGAGGAGGAGGAGGAGGAGGAGGAGGAGGAGGAGGAGGAGGAGGAGGAGGAGGAGGAGGAGGAGGAGGAGGAAGCGATAGCATTTTCTATGAAGCCATCTGTCCTAGCAAACCACTTCTTGTCAGCTGACATTCATTTAAAATGTAGAGGTATGCAAGAATTGTAAAAGTACCATCAACACAGCACTCTGCGGCACCAGGAAGACAAGCGAAACCGCTAGGGCACGGTTGCAGTAAAGCCTGAGTTAGGCCAAGTAAAAATAATTGATTGTTGATCGTCAGCGCCCGCCCCGATTTTTCAGTCCGTCCCGGGATTAATTTTATTTTTTATTTTCGTGATCAACGATAGAAAACTCGTGTGTTTAGCGAAACGCGAACCTTTTTTAGCAGTACGCGCGTACGCGAGCTCTCATGTACAGCTTCAACGTGCTTTTACCGTAGCGACATCACGCAGTGCAGTGTGATTCCAGTGTACTTGTGTGAAATCTGGCAACTACAATACATGGCACTGTAGTCTGTACAGTGTACCACCTGATATCTACGCCTGCATTCATGGAAACTGCGCAGCCACCGCGTACCGCGTCCAAAACTGTTGTTGTTCGATGAACCCGTACTCATGCGCTTGAAAGGGTCTGCACTGTGAAGAAAAGTCGCACGCACGCCGCCGCTTGCCCTACCTTTCGCCGACATTCTTCGAGTGTAATTACTAATTTGTCTTTGTGAAGTCTGAAAGAGTTCCTTGACAACTTTTAGTTCCTTTGTTGGTTTCGGACAGTGGAACTTCAGAAGGATGCCGTTCGTGATCACCCAGATTCGTCATGGTGCGAAAGTTTTGAAGTGGTGGTATGGCATTGTTGTGCGTGACAATGCCACATTGAGTGATGTTTTCACTGAGTTTAGCGCTGGGAAGCTGGACGGTGAGAGCCCTATCTCCGACGACATTCGCTCTTCACCAGACAGGCAGTGAACTGTTCCGCTGGACGAAATAAATCGAACCCGGTGAAAGTCAGTCCGAGTTCACCCGTGAGCGAAGTTGTCAGCTGCTTGGGCCAGTACCTGGATTGCTGCTGTTCTGTCGAGTCTGCTGGTACATCGACTGGTGGGACTGAAGGCTGTGTGTGAAGCGAAGTCGTGCGCCTTCGCTCTCCTCATGAACGCCGCCGCTTCGTCATGTCTCCGACCCCAGAAATGGGAGCGAAGAAAGCAGAGCTGAAGAACGCAATGCTGGCGTTTCTAGAGAAGAATCAATTGGAGTGGGAGCATACGTTCGTGAATTCTTGCGGAATCAATTTCGTTGGGACTCTGGCTGACTGCCAGTGGTATATCGACGGCAATCACGAAACGTTGGCGGCACGCAGCTGTCCTGTACCGGCGATGTTCTCTGAATTTGTTGGATTCAATCGCCCTGAGCTGCGTAAGAAGAGGAAGCGCAACCACACAAATCTCAAAGCACCAGAGCTGGCTGCACTGTCCTCATCTCTGTTTTTCCTGAGTGGCAGCTCATACCTGAAACGGGAAAACTGGAGGAACGTCAAAGAGGCGCTATTGCGCCTTGCGGACAATTTGAGGAAGTACAGTGAATACTTGGGCGAGCACCTGGAGGCAAGAACAAAAAGTGACCTGAAGCCTTCCTGTGTCAGGACTGATGTGGATGAACTGCGGATCCTGACTCCAGTGCTAGTACCCAAACCAACAGTGGCTGCAAGGTACCGAAGCTTTCGGGATGCGCTGAGTCACAGCAGCTTGTGGGAGCCAGTACACCTGGAGGACCACTGTCCCGTGGAAGACAGGAAGAAGAAATATGAGTACATCCAGCAAGTGGTGGTACCCATGAAATGTATGCTGTATGAGTATACCGGTAGCAGAGTGCACAGCACATTTGTATGGAAAATCCCAGTGGACATCAGCGACTCGAAGCTTGTACTGGTTGTAATGGCTGATCTTGTTTCCAAAATACTTCGGACAAGTTGATCAAATGCCAAGGCATGCTGAAACCTAAATTCTCGTCATTTCAATGTATGAGTTCAATGTGTGTGTGTGTGTGTGTGTGTGTGTGTGTGTGTGGCCTACCTAGGAGTAGGTTGCACTTTTTGTAGCTCTTCCTTCTGGTGTTTTTTCATTGCAAGTCCCCGCTCAGGGGCGACTCTGGGGTAGTCCAGGGTCGTCCCCGGCCATCACTCGCCATACCGAGAGTGTAGTTTTGAAGCGAGCGGTGAAATCCACGACGTAGACTCCTTAAATCCCAGTGGACATCAGCGACTCGAAGCTTGTACTGGTTGTAATGGCTGATCTTGTTTCCAAAATACTTCGGACAAGTTGATCAAATGCCAAGGCATGCTGAAACCTAAATTCTCGTCATTTCAATGTATGAGTTCAATGTGTGTGTGTGTGTGTGTGTGTGTGTGTGTGTGTGTGTGTGTGTGTGTGTGTGTGTGTGTGTGTGTGTGTGTGTGTGTGTGTGTGTGTGTGTGTGTGTGTGTGTGTGTGTGTGTGGCCTACCTAGGAGTAGGTTGCACTTTTTGTAGCTCTTCCTTCTGGTGTTTTTTCATTGCAAGTCCCCGCTCAGGGGCGACTCTGGGGTAGTCCAGGGTCGTCCCCGGCCATCACTCGCCATACCGAGAGTGTAGTTTTGAAGCGAGCGGTGAAATCCACGACGTAGACTCCTTGGTGAATTTTTGTTGTCACCACTCTACGTTTGTGTCGCCGTTCGTTGTGCGCTGTGGGTTGGCTACCCCTCGCACTTTGCTCTAGCTTTAGCCCTTTGTCCAATGACTAGAAGAGATTCGAGAAGAAGAGAGAGTAGACAGAGAAGGCAGATAAAGTTTGGTAGTTGGAATGTCCGAACATTACTGAATGTTGATGGACCTGTTGAAACTGCCGCCGTGTCGCGTCGTGTCAAGGAAAATCGGAAAGTGGATCTTGTCGTGCGTCAACTCAAGGAACACGATGTCGAAGTCGGTGGTTTGCAAGAGACCAAATGGTTTGGATCAGCGGAGTATTCGGTGGACAATGCTGTTGTTCTTTCCTCGGGGCGTCCATCCCCAGGAGCGTCTTCTTCAAATTCAAATTTTGAAAATATTCAAAATTCTCAGCGTGGTGCTCAGCGTGGAGAAGGAGTCGCTGTTGTCCTTCGAGGGCGAGGTGCTGATGCATGGGATGCAGGAGGTCGACAGTGGACGGCTAAGTCGTCGCGTTTAGTGTCAGCTCGTCTTCGTTTCGTACATAGTCCAACTAAATGTTCGTGGATGACAGTCATAGTGTGTTATGCACCGACGTTCCGTTCTGCTCGTTCAGTGAAGAGTGAATTTTTCAATGATTTGGAGGATTTGCTCTGCACTGTACACCCTACTGATGATCTAGTACTACTTGGTGACTTCAATGCTCGGGTAGGATCAGCTCTATGCCCTGCACCTGATGATCCCTGGTCAGCTGTTCGTGGTCCGCATGGCTCTGGACAACTAAACGAGGCTGGTAGAGAACTGTTGTCATTTCTTGCTATGCATAACCTGGTCATCACCAACTCATGGTTCAGAAAGCGCGACATTCACCAGCAAACTTGGCAACACCCCCGTACAAAAACATGGCATTGTATTGACTATGTAATTGTGCGACGACGTCAGCTTTCAAACTGCAGAGATTGTCATGTCATCCGCAGCGCTGAGTGTTCAACTGACCATCGATTGGTTTGTCTAGCGTACATGCTAAGTCTCGGTGTGTCCAGGCGCCGTAGACCCGCTAACAAGAAGACTGCTGGTCGGTATAATGTTAGCGCGATGACCAAGGTGCCGGGTGCTGATGCCACTGATCATGAAGTTGCTGATTGTTTGCGTGCAGAATACGCTGCTAATGTTGCCACTGGTCTTGACGGATGGGCAGACTGCAGTGCTGTGGAGGACCAGTGGGTGAAGTTGAAGTGTGCCGTCACTGAAGCTGCCGATGCTACTCTTGGCCGGCAAGGTCGTCGACAGCCAGACTGGTTTGCTGCAAATGCAGGGCATCTTGATACTCTACTCACACGCCGGAACAAGTTATACAGCAAGTGGTTGCAGTCAAAGACTCACGTCGATCTGTGTGCGTTCAAAATGGCCCGCGGCCATGCTCGGGCTGCAGTGCGTGCCGCGAAGCGAAAGTGGCTGCAGTCACAGGCAGACCTGGCTCAGCATGGGCGTTTCAGTGGGCAGAAAGTTTGGTCAGCAATCTCAGCCATGAAGAAGTGCTACGACGGTCTGCAGCCTGTTCCATGTCGCAGCATGCGGAAGAGTGATGGGAGTGTGTGCAGCTCTCTTGATGAGGAACGCGATTGCTGGCAACACCATTTTCAATGTTTGCTGAACGTACCAAGTTCATTCAACCCTGCAATATTTGACTCAATCACGCAGCGTGACATCGATCGCTCATTGTGGCAACCGTCACCAACATCGGCGGAACTTGTTGTGGCATTGCGGCACATGGCTAACGGCAAAGCGGCTGGAGGTTCCGGAATTGTTGCTGAGTTGCTTAAAGCTGCGTTCGGCACCATATGCCCCTATCTCATCGACCTGTTGAACTCAATCTGGACTAGTGGCACTGTACCTGCTGAGTGGCGTAACGCAGTCCTTGTACCAATTCCGAAGAAGGGAGACCTTTCCAGGTTTGATAACTGGAGGGGAATATCGCTGCTTGATGTTGTAGGGAAACTGGTGGGCCGTGTCCTGCAATCCCGTCTTCAGAGGCTTGCTGAGAAGGTGCTGCCGGAATCGCAGTGCGGTTTTCGCCGTGGACGATCCTGCACGGATGGAACTTTTTGTATACGCCAACTAGTAGAGAAGTTTTATGAGCATCGTCAGAAGGGCTACCTCGTTTTCGTGGATTTACGAAAAGCGTATGATTCCGTGCCGCGCCCTGCTCTCGCTGCATGCCTCCTCAAGCTGGGCGTACCTGAGGAACTCACAGAGCTAATCCTGCAGTTCCATTGCGGCATGGAAGCAGAGGTGCGTGTTGGTGCTGAAGTCAGTGGCTCGTTTCCTGTTGAAAATGGTTTGCGCCAGGGATGCACCATGGCTCCGGTTTTGTTCAATCTCTTCTTTGGTGTTGTTATGTGCTGGAGAGATGCGATGCGTCAGGCCAGCACTGATTCTGGTATATCACTGTCCTACAACATCAATGGTCAGCTTTACTCCCGTGCTAAGGGTACCCTTCAAGTGCAACTCCACGACTTTGAATTTGCAGATGATGCCGTTTTGTTGTCAATGAGTCGGGCTGAGGCTGAGCAGTCACTTCAGACTTTTCATCGTGTTGCATCCTCGTTTGGTTTGTCCGTCAGTTCGTCGAAAACACAATTCATGGTAGTTGGTGTTGGTATTTCCCTGGAGGACAGGATGCCGATGGACATGGGTGGCGACAGCATTTCGTATGTTGAATCGTTTGTGTACTTGGGCTCCCTCATCACGCCAGACACCCGATCCTCACCTGACATCCAGCGACGGATTGCCAATGCGGCAAAGGCGTTTGGCTGCCTCCTACCAGTGTTCCGGGATACCAGCTTGACGGTGGCAACAAAGCGTCATTTGTACACAGCCTGTGTTCTGTCGGTTTTACTCTACGGTGCTGAGTCATGGGCTCCGCTTCGGCACGACTTGGATCTGCTGGACAACTTTCACCACCGGTGCATTCGCTCCATCTTATGTGTATCTCGGCGTCAGCAATGGGAGGAGAAAATCTCATCGGCAACGCTCCGTGCGCGCTGGGGTGACACTACACCGGTGTCAGACCTTGTTCGGCGTCGGCGGTTGGAATGGCTCGGGCACGTCGCGCGCATGCCTGCAGACCGTGCTCCCGTCCAGATTTTGTTTGGAAGGTTGAGTGGTCGTCGCCCTCCTTGTGGTCCCCGGCGGCGCTGGAAAGACGTTGTCCAGAGAGACATGAAGGCAGCTGGCGTGGATTCCTGGTTTCAGAATGCCCAAGACCGGCAGAACTGGAGGATGTTCCTTGCTGAGCCACCACCGCACACAGATGATTCGCCACCTTTGCGCTGCTTGCTGTGTGCCAGAGACTTCCGCCGCCGTAACGACATGGCCCGACACAAGTGCATTGCCCAGCGGAAGTTGCCTGTGTCACAACAGAAGGGTGCCAGGCAATGTATGAAGTGCATGCGGTGGTTGAGGAGCGCTGGAGGACTGGCTGTGCATCGCTGTCCTGTGTCCACGGATGTCCCCACTGTATCCATTCGCCATGAATCTGACTCTTTTCGATGTGATGTTTGTCGCCGCTCTTTCCGCTCTCATTCTGGTTTGAGCCGTCATCACTGTGACCGTGCGAAACGGATGTCACGGGCAGCCAGGAACAACTGCCGTCATGAATGCGAGCATTGCGAAAGACGGTTCTCAAGGCCACAGGACTTGCAACGCCATGCCAAATATTGTTGACTTTGCGATTTCTCTCTCTTCTCTTCTCTCTTCTTGTCGTTGTCTCCCGCTTCTGGGAGCGGCGTGGCCCGATAGGGTAGCTGTACATAGTAGTAGTAGTAGTAGTAGTGTGTGTGTGTGTGTGTGTGTGTGTGTGTGTGTGTGTGTGTGTGTGTGCGGCACAATTGCGAGCGTGGCAAGCGACCAACAGCGAGGGGGCGTCTTGAGTTCAAGTTCTGCTGTGCGTGCGGCGAGAGATATCGCAGACAGCAGGATCTGCAGCGGCATGAGGCCGGATGTTCTGCCGCGACGCCGTGATGCTACTCCTTTGTTCCCCTCCTCATGAGGGCAGCTTAGCCGTTTAACGGCAGCTGTTTGTCAAGGTCAAGGTCAAGGTGTGTGCGTGCCCGCCGCATGGCAGCAGGAAACAGTATCACAGAGTCATCTGCACATGTTCAAAGTGTTTGGAGTGTGCCCAGGCAGACTGGTAGCAGTCACAAGCTCACAACCAACAGTGGTAGTACAGGGATGAATTTATCCTGTATCGCATCGCAGTTTGCTACGCAAAATCGATCTACTGCTACTCAAAAATCACAGTGACACGCAGAAAACTGCGATACATACATGTACAGCTAGCTTACGCCACAAATTAGATTTTGCATAGCAAAAACTGCTACGCAAAAACGTGACAGTAAATTCATCCCTGTAGTACACCCATAACCCCATAGATGTAATACATGCTACGATTTCAAGATGTCCGGTCGATGCATATATAAAAAAAAGTTATAAAATAAAAATAAAACCCTCCCGTCCGCTCCGATTTTTCGGAAAATTCTGACGATCAACCATCTTCTTCTTTTTTACTTGGCCTTAACATGAGAATTTTCAATCTGGGTTGAAAGTGTGTACATTGTACGTGTTCTTCATGAAGAGGGTGGACAGGAGGATCTTACTGATATGCAGACCACAAAAGTACATTTTCCTAATCCTATATGGTCATGTAATTACCGTATTATTTCCATTATAAGCCCAGCGCATATATTTTTTCAACCAGTCCAGACCCCCGGCTTATAATAGAGACTGGGCTTCTACAGGAGACTGGGCTTATAATTTTTCATCCACCTGGTACATGTACATAATCACTGCCTATTATTTTGCATTGTATCAGTAGCACAACGCTTCCCAGCACATACTGGAACTGCAGTTTTGTGTGTGTGTGTGTGTGTGTGTGTGTGTGTGTGTGTGTGTGTGTGTGTGTGTGTGTGTGTGTGTGTGTGTGTGTGTGTGTGTGTGTGTACACTGAGTGAGTCTGAATTTTAGATCTCGGGGATCACATACTTTACCACAGCAATCAGCATGTGGGTATGTGACACTTTGTGATGTCAAACATGCATGGACATGATCCATACAGGTCTACAATATAAGCCCTGCGCTTCTACTGGAGACTGCGCTTGTATATCTTCGAAGCCCTCTTGGAGTGCGCCTATAATAAAAGTTAGAGACTGGGCTTCTACAAGAGACTGCGCTTGTAATAGAGATAATACGGTACATATACTTTAGCAGGGAATTCTCTCTTGCACACTGCTGCACAATCCATGCACAAAACATGCACAGAAGTGCAAAAGTACACTTCGTTTCAATTTTGACCCTCCCTAAACCCCAATACCGGTACATGTGTTCATCAACTGAAAGCCAAAAGTAATATAGTAATAGAAACATACCTTATCTCTAGCCCACTGGATCGTGTGCTCGATACTAGCAGGGAAAGACTTCAACGTGCAGTATGGAACATCTTTGGATGGTGGATCAGCCTGAGGTGGACAAGCAATACAAATCACGCACATACACGGACACCCACCCACACACAATGACGACGACGACCAACACAATAATAACTGTATTGACCACTGGCCATCATGACAATCAACATTTGAACCAACGACAGCAACAGCAGCAACAGCACCAGCAACACCAGCAGCAGCACCAACACCACCACCACCAAAAGCAACAGCAGCAGTAGCAGCAACAGCAGCAGCAACAGCAGCAGCAGCAACAGCAGCAGCAACAGCAGGAACAACAGCAACAACGACAGCAACAACGACAGCAACAACAACAACGACAGCAACAACAACAGCAACAACAACAACAACAGCAACAACAACAGCAACAACAACAGCAACAACAACAGCAACAGCAGCAGCAGCAGCAGCAGCACCATCTTCAAATTTACTGCTGAAGACTGCTGAAGTCGCAACATCTTAGCTCGCATCCTTGAAATCCATGGGCTTAATGCAATGAAATCCAGGCTAATTTGTCTAGCCTTTTTTCTTCTTCTAGTTTTTACCTTTGACACTTCTATTGCACCAATCTAACTGGTGTATGATTATAGTACATTGAGGGTGTCAAACTAGCACACAGAGGGCACACAGAGGGCACACAGAGCACATACCTGACTGGAGTAGGACTCCGTCATGTGAGGAACAATGACCTGCAAGTCAAGCACACAGCCACACAGACATGCATACATGCACCCACACAGTACCTCAGCTCATCACAAGGTTTCGAAATACAGCAAAGTCACCAGTACATGCATCGGCAAGGAAAAGTCTGGAGGGCCTTGAGAAAGCATTTTTTTATATCCTTGTCATCTATTCCAAACAAGATAACCAAAGGCAATCACTGGATATAGTGGTTTCACATCTTTGTCATGACTGTGACCAAACTCGTGCAGAAAGTGATCATGGCATGTGGATAGGGGAACCAACATGGTCGACATCACGTGACCCGTAGATGCAGGTGTTGAGTGGAGTTGGAAGCAACATGGCTGCCCTGCATGGTCATGTGATAGATGTGCAGCAGCTGTATACAATACCAGTGCATGCTGCTTACCTGGATATGACCCTTGGCACCAAGAGTTCCACTTTCAAGCAGAGCTTTCGCATTCCCCACACAACGGCTGCAGGGGACAACACATCAGCACAACGAATGTGTTTTTCACCCTCTTCCAAATCACAAAAGAGTAACTTCATAACTACACACCCTTTTGAAATTAGGAAGAGGGCAATAAACAACATTTACCATGCCCAGGGCATTCCCACTTGTACAATGTAATTGAGGAAGTGCCCCTTGTTATGAAGTGTAATATCTTCAGCAGGTGTTACACTGTGCATTTTTTAAATTCAGATGGCATCAAGGGCTAAGGCACGTTCAATCAAGGCGCAGTTTCAGTGAGCTGTGCTAACCGCAAGCAGAGGGTGAAGACAGCGGCAAGCGCACGATCTCAGCAGGGGATATTTAAATATTTGAAAACCTTTTACAAATAGCTTTACCTATCCATGTAGCGTCGTGCTTCCACGTTGTCCAAAGCATTAACGCAGACATCTTGCCTTTGAAAGAAATCGTCTGGATAGTGTGTCTTCTCTGTTTGCGGGCCAACTGTCGCAAAAAAAAACAGAAATTAAGTGCAAGTACATGTACCTGTTGTAAATAATGAGAGGGGGGGGGGGGGGGGGGGGGTAGATGCCACCGTCCAACATCAACAGCGCCCAGTAGCAGTACTAACAAGCACTGGAGCAAGTACACATAGGTCAGTAAAGTCCTCACTAATGAAACATATGCGCTGCTACTCTGAGTTTCATGACCTTAGTCAATCATCAGGCAACACAACTAACTGAGGCAGGGGCTTACAGATCACTGCAAGATGTACTGGGCCAGAACTACAGCAAGCGCAAAATAGCGGGTGTGAAGTGAGAATTGCGGGCAGCTGCTGACGTGCTGAGCCGATGGCGGGAAGCAGTGGTGTGGATGCGGATAGCAGCGGTGTGGATTACACTTTGCGGTCCGACTGGTGATGTTCGCGAATGTCTAACGGGCAAGGTGGCAGGGGCACAAGCATAAGGTGCCAAGCATTCACACAATAGTAAATAGTATGGGCAAGTCAGCTGTGGTGTCAGTTCCAGTGGTCATTGGGCTGTGGTGTCCTGGTCACTGTCATGTCATTCCGCTCAAGCTGGAAAGTTGGTATTGGATAGAATGGCGGCAGTTTGCAATGATTCCGCTCCTCCTATTTAGCGCCTGTGTCTTTCTCAGCAGTGAAAGTCCGCGTTTTCTCAATGGTGCAGAGGGTACACCTTTTTGTTCGAGTATTGTGGGAGTTGGCAAATGCTGTAACCCCCACTCCACAACCCAGTCTGCAGAGTGTTATCCATACCACTGCTCCCCGCCATTGCCTAAGCACATCGGCAGGTGCCCTCAATTCTCACTTCACAGTTCACACCCACTATTTTTGCACTTGTTGTAGTTCTGGCCCAGTATATCTTGCGGTGATCTGTATGCCCTTGCCACAGTAAGTTTTGTTGCCTGATGATTGACTAAAGTCAAGAAACTCGGAGTAACAGTACCTATGGATTTTCATTAGAGAGGACCGTACTGGACTGTGAGTACATGAAAGCTATACTACACCATTCATTTCTTAAAAAACGCACATTGCTTGCCAACTAAAGCCTAGTTCACTTTCGACGCAACGCCGACGGTACGGGACGTAAGGGCTTGTCGGGAGGGCTGGGGTGAGCTGTAAAATCCTGTACGATTCGTACGACACGACATGCAGCAGTCCTTGCGACGTTCAACGTCGAACGGCGCGAGTCATAAGGCATGGTCCGTGACGGGGTGACTTTCGGACCTAATTTCTCGTTTTTCGAGACTTCTTTTTAATTATTTCTCCTTGAAAGAAGCGGAATCAAGTTCACAATACCAGGTTTTCATGAAGATCAAAAAATTAGTCCTGAAAGTTGTGGCATTCAAATAATAGCCCCAGGAAATGATAGAATAGTTCGTCTGTCACGCTTCTGAACTATCCCTAAATACAATAAGGGACATGAGATCTTATGTTGCTAAAATTCAACTCAAGTCGTGCTTGCCATTCTGTGAGTTATCATGGGAAGTGCAGTGTTCGAAATGCTAAAAATATCCAAGTACGAATCGGGAGTAGTCGGCGCACGACGCCGTCTCCTGTTCACACTCGAATTGCAGCCGTTTTGTACGCTTGCGTCCCCGTCTACGCCCGTCTACGGTATGAAAAGTTGGATCGATCCAACTCTTCCCGTCGCTTCCCGATCTGTACGGTAGTACGTTTGCGTTCCCGTTCTTGGTGTTCACATTGGACGCCGTCAGACCGTCCCGTCGCTTCCCGTCGATCCTTACGTCGCGTCCCGTCGCGCCCCGTCGAATGTGAACTAGGCTTAAATAACACACCATCGAAGAAGCAATGCATGCATAACAACAGCTCTGATCGGTTATTCCTGCCCGTGTGTGTCTGCCTGTCTGTCTGTGTGCATGTCTAACCGTCTGTCAGTCTCTCCGTGTGCAAGCATGTCTCTCATTCTCTCACCTTTTTCCTGATGGGCATCGATGCGCAAATCTAGAGCAAATGTGCGGAGAAAACACAAAAGAAACATTCGCATGAAGTTTGTTCACGTTTCACGTTTCACATCAGTCACAAAAATGCTTTGTCATAAAGAATGTGTTCATCAGCTCAAGGGAAAGTTAAATTTTACACAAAAAGAGGGTTCTTCGCAGGCCTGCAGTCACATCATGAAAGCAGTCTGTAAGCAATTGAGACTGCAGAGACAGCAGCAGCAGTAGCAGTGTACGCTAGTGTATAGTGTACTACAGTGTGTACTGTACAAGCCGGTACACACACTACACACTACACAGTACACAATACTGTCACCTACCTGGGTTGATCTCAGTGACCGATGCCGCTGCCGTTGTGGACTTTGGTTTCTTCAAAGTTGACACACAGAAAGAAACACACGCACAGTTGAACACCGATGCATGTCTGTTCACAAGCAGCTGTATAGCTATGATGAAGTAGTAATACCTGACATTATCATTGAATGGTGTACCACTGAAATAGCATAGCTAGTTACAAGGGTTGAGTGCATAGTTTTTGACGGGGTATGTAACCAGGCCGTGTGATGCACATGTGGGAATAGTTGATAATAATAGCGTTGACATGAATGCATATCACCTACCTGGATATGGCGCGGTCGGAAGAGAAACTGACGATTCAGATTGGATTTCTCAATGAGGTCATTGTCCGTGATCGTTATCTGTGAAAACAACCAATAAAGGCTGGGCAATTACTATTTTAGGACTTTACGATAACCTGGCACTCCCTCCCTCCTCCCTCCTTTGTCTCTCTCTGCCTCTCTCTTTCTCTCTGTCTCTCTCTTTCTCTCAGGCTCTCACTCTCTCGCTCACACACGCACGCACGCACCCCCCCCCCCCCCCCCACACACACAATCTCTCTCCTCTCCCCCATGGTGCATGATGGGCACCTTGATCCCGCAACCATTGGTCGGCGAGCACACTTCACCTGTCCTCACCTGAACAGCAATACAGCGCCTACACGCCCATTACGGTCCAGTATGTTCTTTTCTTGTCATTGTTTCAAATCTTTATTCTCATGATAGCCAGTGGCCAATAAGAGATGTTGTTGTTGTTGTTCTCCATTCTATGCAGGCACGTGCACTTTCATTATTAAATTAGAAAACTAGAGAAACAGAATAGTTTACTGTCAGGCATGTCTCCGCAGGTGTGCCAACACAGGTCCTGCTACATTTCAGAATGGTTTACTGTCAGGCATGTCTCCGCAGGTGTGCCAACACAGGTCCTGCTACATTTCAGAATGGTTTACTGTCAGGCATGTCTCCGCAGGTGTGCCAACACAGGTCCTGCTACATTTCAGAATGGTTTACTGTCAGGCATGTCTCCGCAGGTGTGCCAACACAGGTCCTGCTACATTTCAGAATGGTTTACTGTCAGGCATGTCTCCGCAGGTGTGCCAACACAGGTCCTGCTACATTTCAGTGGCTCGTGCAAGTTGGCTTCCGTGGCCTGTGCAATGCCGCTAAGCAACCCTTTCACTGGGTTTTGTTTTGATGATGACCTACTCAAAGCCAGCAAAGCCTGACTGGCCACCTGCCTGCAGCGGGTATTTGTGCATGTGTGTGTTCAGCATGTGTGCAGCACTGAGAACTTGCTGTGCTGGAACCAACCCAGACAGGTGGTGGACACCTGGACCGTTTGCACCCCCCATCTCATACAGACATGCACACATGTACACACACAGGCACATGCATGCAGGCACGCGCGCAAAAGTACATGACAAATGTGTCATACGGTGAAAGCACGTACCAAACCTTGTGAAGCATGGCCTACGCCCAGCATGGCATAATTCTTCAACATCTCACAGCCGATGGCACCGCAGCCCACCTAAAAGTTCACGCACAGGCATGCAAACACAGGCATGCAAACACAGGCATGCACACACAGGCATGCACACAGACACATAAACACCCACACGCACGCGCGCGTGCGCACACACACACACGCATACACACACACATCGTGCTCATGTTCATGCAAATGAATCAGGTACTGCTCAAAACTAAAGAATGACTGCATCTCTATGCCAACCAGAACTACTGTGCGCAACTCGCATACCACACAGTGTTTCAATTGTAGCACATTCAACTATTTCCTCCGGTGGTTGTAATACGAGCATGCAACGCAATGGCATAGCAGCCGTCCGGTCCTACATTACACGCTTATCTCCAAAATTAGGATAAATGAATATCTAGCATTCACTATCTGGCATCAGTATCTGCATCTCAAACCTAGAACCAGCATGACACCTGTAGGAAGGCTGCAGTTTGTAAATTGAAGATGCAGGTGGAAAGCCCCAACATGCAAGAGAAAAATGCCCACTGACCATGAAGAGGCGAAGATTGGACAGCTTGTCCACAACCTTGTTCCCTACACAAACCCTCAGTGGGTCATAGCGATCAGCTCTGCAATGTAGTACATACAGAGAAAAATATCACGGGGCAATGATATTGGTGAAAAAGAAGCGTGTCTAGTGTCTACTAACACACACTGACATGACTCCAAGAGGCAGCTTTCATGACAACGATATTGTCGTCCCATTGGGTGATGCTGCCATGTACGTAGGCCATAGCGATTTGGTCCCACAAGCACATGATTGTGCAGGAACACATGTCGCAAGCTATCCTGCCATGATTGCAGGATTTGTTCAACTAATGGCAGCAGTCACTTGGCACTGGCAAAGGAGAGCTATGACCTCTTGGAGAATGGGGATGGTTCGACAAAGAGAAAATTGATTTTTTCAAAGGGCATCTCTTGTACAGGGAATAATAGTTAAAGAATCAATATCCATTCAATCATTTTTTATTTCTATCCACACAACACGGCGCACAATTCCAAAAAATGCTCTCGCAGGCTGCGCTTTGACCATGAGCATGTGAATCGGTTTCTTCCAACCCAGCGGCATGCTCTTGGCACCATGTGTTTCCCTTCTTGCCGGCAGCTAGTCCCATGATGTGAATCACCCATGATAAAGCCTGGGGAACTAGACCCACGGCCTCTCATACAAGTGTAAACTCTACTACGTAGCCCTGCAAGCAAGGCAAGACAAGTATGCATGTAAACTCTACTACGTAGCCCTGCAAGCAAGGCAAGACAAGTATGCATACCGTGGCTGGCAATACTCAGAAGCCAGGTCTTTGGTTGGTCGAGGCTGAGGTAGAACTTCACGGGTGTCAATGTACAGCTGCAAAACACACATACGTACGCACACATGCACAAACGCACACACACACACACACACACACACCCGCATGGGAACATGGGAAGGCACACGGAAAAGTCTGAGAGACTGAATATACTTCAAGTGCTTCAAGTATGCATTCACATCTGATCCAGCTTTCAACTCTTTCTATGAAATTTGTATGCCTGAATAGTAGCCAAGCAGCATTGTAACAATTTTAAGGCTAGGAAACACTGCCCAACTCCTGCTAGTCCACTACAACTGGTAGCTACATAGCAACAGTGGCACTAGTTACTTGCCAACACATCCTGCAAACAAAAAAACTGACAAAGAAAAAGAAAGGACCAATACTGACGGATGTGGTACTGACGGACGTGGTACTGACGGACGTGGTACTGACGGACGTGGTACTGACGGATGTGGTACTGACGGATGTGGTACTGACGGATGTGGTACTGACGGATGTGGTACTGACGGATGTGGTACTGACGGATGTGGTACTGACACACATTCTGACCTACCAGTATCTTGTTTATATCTGTTAGTATTCACTATTGGACAATCACCAAGCACTGGTTGAAATCACACATGTTTACTTACCAGTTGTTTGAGTGGCATAAATTTTCCTGAAACAGATTTCAGAACCTCCTGAGCGAGAAAGCCGCCAAGTGAAGCACATAGCGGAGCAAAGCATCCCGATGATGTGTAGGATAAATCACGCACTACATCTTCATTCAAACAAGCCGCCTAAACAATAGCACAAAGGACGACAGATGAAGAATTCCACAACGGGGAAAAGAGAACAGACCACAGCAAGAAAAGAAAATCAATGTTGATTCCAGCAAGCTGATCAGAACTCATTTACAAGTATTTCACTGATGACAACACCGGGAAACGCCAACACAATGGGCAGCAGCAGCACCACCACCACCACCGCCTGCAATAACATGTACTGCACAGCACTAAATTCTACATACAGCCCCAATTTCGGTGTCAGAGGGCTGGAATAACAGCAGCAGCAGCAGTTGTATCACAACATAGCCACTATGGGTGCTTACCAAATCAGAATTCGAAGACGAGACACGGGCAGCACATTCCACAAGCTTGTCACTGTCATCCTGACACCTGGGCGTACAGTCAGAGGAAAATAAAGCTGGCTACTCATCTCTGCTATGTTGGGAATTGATGATGTACACAACAAGATCCAGGATATTCATGACATAAAGCTTCTTCATGAACTAGTTGAATGTTGAATCAGAATGTCACTTTGTAATTACATAAGAAGACTTTCAACTGTAGGTCATGCCCGAGTGGGCCACATATTATGGTACAATACAGTACAATGCAGTGCAGTACAGTACAATGGTACTGCAGGACCCTCTGGACTAGATGCTACATCGTGGCGCAGAATGTGCACAGCTTTTCACGGAGCATCTGATGACCTCTGCGATTCACTGGCCAGCTGTACCCGCCGCATCGCCTCGTCCTATGTCGACCCCACAGCATTGGAAGCTTTCTTGGCCAGCCGCCTCATACCACTTGACAAACAACCGGGTGTCAGACCGATTGGGATCGGAGAAGTGGCCCGTCGCATCATCGGGAAAGCCATCCTGCGATGCGCCTCATCTTCAATACAGAAGTCAACTGGCTGCCTTCAGCTATGTGCGGGTCAAGAGTGTGGCATAGAAGCAGCAATACATGCTATGCAAACAGCATTTCAGGAATACGAGACGGAAGGCGTATTGTTTGCAGATGCGTCAAACACATTTAACGCCCTTAACCGTGCTGTCTCACTGCACAATATCCAGCACACCTGCCCCACCATTGCTCCGGCACTGATCAACAGCTGCCGCAGGCCGACTCGGCTGTTTGTGGATGGTGAATGTCTCCTGTCTTGTGAAGGCACCACGCAGGGAGATCCACTAGCCATGGCTATGTATGCCCTGGCGACCGTTCCTCTCACCCAGGAAGTGTCTCAGAGCGGAGCACTCCAGTCGTGGCATGCAGACGACTCCACTGCCGCTTCCACCATCCGCAAGCTACATCACTGGTGGTCACTGCTTAAGCAACGAGGCCCAGCATATGGGTACTTCCCCAATGATGCCAAGTCGGTCCTTGTTGTGAAGCCGGAGCATCTTCAGGAAGTAGAATCCCTGTTTGCTGACACGGCAGTCCAGATTCGCACGGATGGCTGGCGGCATCTCGGTGCGGTACTTGTGTCTCCCGAATTCTGCAAGCAATATGTCACAGAGAAGGTAGAGACATGGGCGCTAGAGGTTGGACGACTGGCTGACTTCGCCATCACTCAGCCACAAGCGGCACACGCTGCTTTTATTCATGGCCTCCGCCACAAGTGGTCGTTTGTGGCCCGGACAGTCCCAGGCATCAGCGGACTGCTAGACCCGCTGGAGCACTCCATCCGACAGCGGTTCATCCCTGCTCTAGCCAGTCGCCCCGCACCTGGTGACGAAGAGCGCGCCATACTGTCCCTCCGGTGTCGAGAAGATGGGCTTGGTCTCATTGACCCGAGGCCTTTGACGGACCAATACAATATGTCTGTCGCTGTCACCAACATCCTCGTGAGCCGGATACTGGACCAAGACACCAACATGGACGAAGTGCCCACCACCATCCATGCTGCCAAGCTAACTGCAGCAGCAGCAACCAGGAGAGCCGCTCGAGACCGAGCCAGTCAGCTCCGGGCCACTTGTGATGCGCCCACCAAGCTAATCCTGGGGATGGCGGCCGAGAAAAGAGCGTCCAACTGGCTCACTTGCCGGCCCCTGAAGCAGTTCGGGTTTGTCCTCCACAAAGGCGCCTTTAGAGACGCACTCTGTCTGCGGTTCGGCTGGGTCCCTCCCCGCCTGCCATCCACTTGTGTGTGTGGCAAGGCGTTTAACACCAGCCATGCTCTTTCGTGCCCAACTGGTGGATACCCGGCTCTCCGCCATAACACGATCCGCGACCTGACAGCCGACCTACTGCGTGAAGTGGCAACGGATGTGAAGGTAGAACCTCCTCTGCAGCCCTTGGAGGGTGAAAGGCTTCGGTATCGCTCTGCCATCTTGGAAGATGGTGCTCGTCTTGATGTGGCAGTATCCGGTGTCTGGGGAAGTACTCTAATTTCAGAAATTTTCGGTGCTCAATATTTTCGGTATGAGGGCAACAGGCCAGGTTAGGTGAACAGAAATTTTCGGTACAAAGAAGCAGTTCCCTATTGGATTATGTGTGTTAGTGTTTGTTCGGTGCGTTGAAATTTTAGGTATGAAACAAACGCACCGAAAGTACCGAAAATAAAAGTACAGTCAGATCTCGTTTATCCGGTCCTCGTTTATCCGGATCCCTCGCCATCCGGAAGAAAATCGCTGGTTACCGATGTGCAGCATATGTTATGCATACAACATAACCGGACCTCGCGATCCGCATACCGGTGCATGATTTTGTGTACAAACTGGTTAAAATGTGTACAAAATGCTTCGTCGTATCCGGTTGCATGTGGCTGGCTAGGGCTTGCAGAAGCTAGTATCAAGGAGTTGTACAAGCAAATGAGGTCCTTGACCTGCTGGGTGTGTGCGGACAGCACTCAGTTGCATGCACTTGTCATTTTTCTCGCTTGTTTTACATACTGGGCACGCTAGTTGTACTGCATAGGACCTGTCTACATGTACATGTATGTACGATGCCACTGCTTTTGACATGCTACATGCATAATACAGTATGTGTGTTCAGTTATCCGGTTACCTCGCCTATCCGGATGTTTTTGTGGAAAACAGATGTGTGCGGTTAAGCGAGGTCTGACTGTACGCCGAAAATTTGTGAAATTACAGTGGTTTTGAGCGCACGTTCTGTGATGTTCGGGTTTATAACCCTCATGCGCGCTCGAACACTTCCTCAACTCCCGCGTCCACCTATGCCAAGCACGAACAGCAGAAGAGAAGGGCCTATGAAGAACGTGTCAGGGAGGTGGAGCATGCTTCCTTTCTCCCACTGGTATTCAGTGCATCTGGTGGGTGCGGCGAGGTAGCCCACACTTTCCTGAAGCGTCTTGGCCATATGGTCTCGGAGAAGCGGCATGAACCCTACACCTCCGTCATGTCCTGGATCCGCTCCCTTGTCTCCTTTGCTTTGGTTAGATCATGCAACATGAGCCTCCGTGGTCACCGTGCTTCTCCCTACCGCAGTCGTGTGGAAGCTGCCAGTCCTGTTGTGCTGGCAGTCAACGACTGTCAGTTGCGTGACTGAGACTCTTGCAGAGTACCCGTGTCTAGCATTTATATTCCACACTTTTATTATCCGATGATCTTATTTTGTTTGCTATGATTCAGTGATTTTCTGTTGGTTGCTTTTCTGCTGTGCGAATAAAGTGCAGTACAATGCAGTGCAGTGCAGTACAGTACAGTACAGTACAATAGGTAAGAGAAAGTCGAATCAGCACCAACTCACCATGCCTTGGGAAGAGCACCATTGTCTGCACGGAACTGTTCCAACGCCAGCATAGCCACGTGGATCTGGGTGGATGCCTGTAAGCAGGACAGCACATGACATTAGCAGACTCATGACACACTTTTTTAGCAAATGACAGTGGTGCCTGCACAGCCGTGACATCATTAAGGAGGGGCAGGAGCTGGTGTCTCATGCCACACTGGTCGTCATACTAATACCCAGTTGCCAAGTGCAAGGTCTATTTTCTTGATGGGCTGCCCCATCACCATACTCCCAATACATGTACACCAGGCGCGTACGCAGGGTCACCTCTAGGGGGGTTTCCAACCGAATCCCAAACAATGACTCATTTTACCCTTTCTAAAAAGCCCTAGGAATTTTTCAAAATTATGCACTTTTTCGTGTTCTTTGGATCATATCTTCAGTACTAACTCACTCAATCTTCAATAATATCTTGGGCTTCCTGGAAGTGGAAAGGTACCTGGGAGAGAATGAGGTCGACCATGATAGCCAGGACACAGTCACAGTACAGTCATGTACATATCCACCGGGTCACAGTTACCCCTAGGCCCCAGCAAAGCAACTGGATTCACTACATTCCGGCCAGTGTCCCCGACTGACGTGGAACGGCTATGCAAACTAGACGAACGGAAAGCCACCGACTCTGACGACATTCCTGCTTCACTTCTGCGTGCGTCCTCCAAGTATCTAGCTGCATCCTTGGCGGAAATCTATAACAACTCCCTAGCCACTGGCGTATTCCCCGAACAATACAAGCTTGCCCAAATCTGTCCAGCGTTCAAGAAAGGTGATAAACACGCTCCCACAAACTATAGACCAATCTCCCTTCTTCCCATAGTTTCCAAAGTCCTAGAAAGAATCGTCTACGACCAGTTCCGGCAGTTCATGGTCTCTGCAGGTGACGTTATACCTGACGAACAGTTCGCCTATCGCTCCTGTCATTCATGCGGTGACACACTGGCACTATGCATTGACAGTTGTCAGCGGTCACTGGACACTGGCAACGTGGTTGCTGTAGCATTCCTCGACCTCAGCAAAGCCTTTGACTGTGTCCTGCATGGTGAGCTCCTTCTGGAGCTGCAGCGCTGTGGAGTAGGAGGCACTGTTCTGCAATGGTTCTCCAGCTATCTGTCCAGCCGACCACAGCAAGTGAAATGCCTCCGTCAACCACCTGGAACCCCGTACATGGCCAATCGCGGTGTCCCTCAGGGCTCGGTCCTGGGACCGGCACTGTTCACGGTGTACACCAGGCGCCTACCAGCCTGCCTACAGTCATCCCTCTGCCTCCTGTATGCAGATGACACCAACATCTACGCTGCCGACCCGTCCCCTTCCACTGCCGCACAGACCCTGGAACATGATCTGACCCGTGTGAGCAGCTTTCTGGAGGCCCCGTGGACTGCAGCTGAACCCATCCAAGACACAATTCCTGCTGCTACGGAAACCCAATGTACATGCAGACTGTGCCCTCCAGTTCTGCAACAGCCGTATACAGCAATCGCAGCAATCCAAGTACCTGGGCATCATCATAGATGAGCATCTGTCGTTTCAACAGCAAGTAAGTAACATTAGAAGTAAAGTTAGTGCCAAGGTCAATGCAGTTCGCCGTTGCCGGCACCTTCTCAGTGCTAGAGCCAAGCGAACTTCCTATCTTGCATTTGTCCATTCTACCCTGGAGTACGCGAGCAATGCGTACGTGCACTGCCTGCGACAGACCACCTATAACGCTCTTATTAGCATCGCGAATCGGGCGATCCGCACTGTCTTTGGCTTCCCTCCCTCTGCCTCCATCCAACCCATCTTAGCTAGACAGCACCTAACACCGTTAAATATTCGCTATGCTGCCAACCTCTATGCGTTTCTACATAGATGCATAAATGCTCGTGCTAGTCCCCTACTTTTCCGACTTTTCACTCCTCGTGCTGTCTCCTCATCCCGCACTGCTAGAATTACCCGTTCTCAGGAATCGCTTGGCCTGGTACTGCCAGATGCCAGATTGTATTTTGGCTATCACTCTGTATCTTATCTTGGAGCTGACCGATGGAACTCCCTCCCTGCCGCGATTCGCACCATATCCCTCCTGCTGCATTTCGCTCCGCTATCTTCACGTGGCTAGGGCACCCTGTAAGAAGACCATAGGTCTGTGGGGACTGCCCTAGTAAAATATGAACAAATAATAATAATAATAATAATAATCTTCACTAGTTTGAGGGAAAGAGACAAACGGGAAAAGTCTGAAGAAAAAATTGACTGTCACCACCAGGACTCGAACCAGGGACCCTCGCTTGTAGCTAGCGATGCTCTAACCACTGAGCTATGGTGTAGTCGTCATCCCAGCAGAGACTGTTCAACATTTTCTTCAGACTTCGTAACTCACACTTCCTGTGAATCCACACAGGCGGGTGGGACGCAGCCCTCACTGTACCCACACACTTCACGTACACTCTAGCACGCGGGGAGCCCCAAGTCATAACATCTTCACTAGTTTGAGGGAAAGAGACAAAATAATAATAATAATAATAATAATCTTCACTAGTTTGAGGGAAAGAGACAAACGGGAAAAGTCTGAAGAAAAATTGACTGTCACCACCAGGACTCGAACCAGGGACCCTCGCTTGTAGCTAGCGATGCTCTAACCACTGAGCTATGGTGTAGTCGTCATCCCAGCATAGACTGTTCAACATTTTCTTCAGACTTCGTAACTCACACTTCCTGTGAATCCACACAGTAATAATAATAATAATATCCAGCGCTATAGGCTATAGCGGTAGAGTGCAGCGACGGTGGGAAAAAATGCCCCAAATTGGCCCAAGCGCGTCCTACTCCAGCGATTTCGTTTTTCTTGATCGCAGAGTTTCGATTTTTTTGCTGTGTACTCTTGAAAATATTACAAGTGAAGCCCCTGCAAATTTGAGCAAGTCAGCGTGACGAAAAGTCTCAAATTCTCGATACTCGAGTCGCACTGAACGCTTTTGAAATTGCGAGATCGCGGCTCAACTTACGAATGACTTATCTCAAGAGGAATGGCTCGCAGCGTGTCGCAAATTGTTTCAACCGACAGCTGAGAGTTTTCTATTCGACCTAGATATTTGGATCGTTGGATTTGAGCGAGATTTGACTGAGTTACTATCTGTTGAAGTTTTGCATTCTTGCCAGATCGATCGTGCACCCTACCAAAAATGCCCAAAAACGTTGCTCGTTTTGCCAATACCGTATTTCCCCGTAAGTAAGTTCTCCCCAATGACTTAGTACCCCCCCCCCCCCCTCCCCCCCCCACCCCCTATAAAAAATACACTTTCCACTGCCGAGGTTATCACCCCGAAAGACAGTTCCCCCCGAAAGATAGTAAGTTCGTACCCGTCCTACATGTACAGACACCGTACAGTACATACATCATATGCACAGACACTAGAGTTGCGCAGGCTCCCCACTGCGTGTCATTTACCCCCGATAAAAAAGTACTCCCCGAAAGATAGTACCACCCCCGAAAGTTAGTACTCATGTGGCTGCTAAGTTCGAAAGTTAGTACGTACTAACTTACGGGGAAATACGGTATCCCTGTTTAGTGGAATGGTTGAGAAAATTCATAGTCGTAAGTTGGAGGGAAAGTTGTGAACGGGAAAGGTCTGAAGAAAAAATTGACTGTCACCACCAGGACTCGAACCAGGGACCCTCGCTTATGACCAGCAATGCTCTACCACTCAGGGACCCTCGCTCATGGCCAGCGATGCTCTACCACTAAGCTATGGTGTAGTCGTCATCCAAACAGCGACCGTTCAACATTTTCTTTAGGCTTCGAACTCACACTTCCTCTGAATCCACACAGGCTGGTGGGACGCAGACCTCACTGTAACCTACACACTTCACTGTAACCTACACACTTCACTTCACGTAAAAACTAGCACACGGGGAGCCCCAATACAAAAAAAATGCTCTTGAGAGACCAACGTTTACTATTTTCCTTGATATACCATATTTTCCGGGGTGTTAGCCGCATTTTTAAATGCCGAAATTAACTCAAAAATCGCCCCTGCGGCTTTGACTCCGAATGCTGGCCATGAATCAACCAGTGATACAGTGTGCCATGCGTGTTATTCGACTACAGTCAAACCTCGTTAGGACGAACACTGATAAGGCGAACTTTCCATTAGTACGAACTAAGGCCAATCATATGGTTGGCCAGGCATCAATTCAAGTCAAAATTATTCGTTTATGACGAACTTCTGTACAGCGAACTTTCGCGAAGACGACCTATTTTCAAGTGTGATTTGAACAAAGTCAGTGTGGTCATGTACATGTAGTACGAACTTTCGGTCCACGAGCGTGCGCGTACGCTGGCTGCCTTTTTTCTTCTTCTTTTTTCAATAGTCGAGGTCATATTGTACGTACAGTGCAAATTGTTTTCAAGCGTGTTTTGAACAAATCAATCAGTGCGTTGTACGAACTTTCGACACAGTCGTGATTCATTGCACTTTGTCATTGTACTTACCTGTTTCTGGCTTATGCTAAGAATAGCATGCTTCCCATGTACCACAGCATGCACCTTCACGTAAATACAATCCATCTGATATGTATATCGATTTTTTGTCAGATCTGGATAAGAAGAACTCCCGATAAGACAAACAAATTTGTTCAGTCCCTTGAAGTTCGTCCTAACGAGGTTTGACTGTACTTTCTATGTGTTTTTCAAGCACAGAAATCCATCATTGCAGTTGTACGATCCTTCTATGTTGTCAGTTCAGCGTGAGGGACAAACAAAGAAACTTTTGCTGGAACTTCAGTCGTGCTTGTCAACTTTTTAACCATTGGTAAACGTATTGTATGTACTAGCACCCATCAAGTTTGGCTGGCGAAAAATTCAAAATCTGGCGTGCGGCTTATGCTCTGAATGTCACAAAAAAAAGAATTTTGGGCCCGAAAAGGGGGTGCGGCTTAGACCCCGGAAAATACGGTAAAATGGTTTCTTTTCTGTGTGACAGTACTACAACTTTGAAAGTAATTTGTTTGCAGTTTCTGACAAGTCAATTCAGGCTATCCAGGTTTTTTCGATAGATTCTGCCTCGCCTTCAACTAATAAATTTGAACATTCAGTCGACATTGACTATGTTTCTTATAACAGTAATTCGGATTTCTGTCAGGTTTTCCAAGCGTCGGTGTGCTACACCAACTTCAAACAAAGAAAGCCATACGATGAGGGTCTCAGGGACGAAAAACTAACTTATTGTGATAACCAATAACACAATGCTGCAGCAGTAGCATACCTCGGGCTTGCAGAAATCTGGAATAATGCAATCCGGCTTGCAAAGCTGCTTTTCCAAGGACTCCTGTAGTTGATCAGACATACATGGCACATGGTACTCACGGTCAATGTCATAATCATACAGTGCTCACCTTCAATACAGACTATTACGTTGGCAGCTAGGACTGCTCAGCCGAAGTTGTATGGGGCAGAAATCGCAGACTCCCATTCATGCATGTGATGAAGATGGAACTACTGTAAATATACAAATCTTCGGCAGCTATTTAATTTCGGCTATACTGTAAAACGACAAACTTTCGCGAGCGATTTACTTTCGCGACTTTCGCGAGCAGAGCTGAATCGCGAAAGTTTGACACGCGAATAAGAAATTTGTACAATCATGTACTACGCGATGCGTCGATGATCGATCGTGCACTGTCTGTACATGCACTGCACAGACTCTGGACTAGCGCAGATCGGTGCTTGCACGGCTAAAGTCCAAAGCGCGCAGCTGTTGAAAGTTACGTACCAACACTAGTCTTCCAAGTTGTCGTTGGAGTACGGCGACTTGAACAGAATTGTAGAAGAGAATAAAACGATCGACTGGAGAATGTCTCAGTGTTGTGGAGAGTGTTTGGCCAGCTTGCTGTTGCGTAGATTTTAGTGTTGTACTGCGCGAAGAAGTCTTCTGAAGTTTATCGCCATTAGTATCGCAGTGGCTCAGCAGTTCGAAGAGAAAGCCTTCCGATGATCCCTCTTCGAAAACGCCATCCTTTCTTGCAGTACTAGTACTCACCTTATGATTATCTTTGATTCCTTGATTGATTCTTCCATTCTTTGATTTCTTCTCTCATTCTTCGTGCGCTCTGCGTCCCAGCACTCCAAGACTTCGTAAAATAACATTCTTGAAGATTTTCAGTGGAAGGTAAAATCGCTAAAATTAATCGCCGCTAACTGGTCCAGTTTGCCAAAACGCTAAATTTAGCCGCCGCGAAAGTTTGTCGTTTTACAGTATTCGGCACCGACCCAAAACGCCTAAATTAAAACGCCGATGAAATTTTTCACAGCATCTGTCGCACTATACCATGCCCTCTACCCCACGCCGAAAATAAATCGCCGCCGAAATGTCAAAAATCGTGAAGTGCCGAAATTTTGCAGCGCCGAAATTTTGTATATTTAGTATTTACAGTAGCTGATCTCACAACCAAATCCTTGTTTGAAAAGAGCTCAATAGTGCCTTGATTGGGCTCATCAGAGGGAGAGACAGGGAGAGAGAGAGAGAGAGAGAGAGAGAGAGAGAGAGAGAGAGAGGAGGGGGGGGGTGGCTGGATGGCCACACTAGTCACCTGGAGGTAACGGAGTATGTTGTTAGTAGTACTGGCGCAAGCTGTATAAAACATCAATTGAAAACTTGCACATTCACAACAATACAACAATACAACAAAACAACAATACAACAATACAACAATACAACAATACAACAATACAACAATACAACAATACAACAATACAACAATACAACAATACAACAATATAGTACGCACAAAACATGCTTCTATAATTATACTGTGCACAAACAGCTGGTCATACTTACAAAATTAACTGTCTGCGGCATCTTCACTTGTCGAAATATGCCACCATGCGCATGGGAGGCAAATTCTTCCCCACTCGTATCGCCAATTCGAAATTCACGCGGTGACAGGACTGGAAAGAACACCACCAACACACAGTGCAGTGACTACCAAGAATGCATGATTATCTGAATGCTAATGTACACAAATGCATACCGTGGAGTACTATATTCATATTTTTGGGAAGTAATTTGCGTCGATTTGGGCAAGCAGCTCTCATAGAATCGCTTTCCATCAGCTGGGCCACAGCATGGATATTCAAAAAGTCCAAACGCTATGTAATAAAATTTAATTATGATGTGTATAATGTATGAGAGCCATGTACATTTTGCCTCACTTTCCTAACCAATCGTTTCTAGAAGCTCTGATCAATATCCTGTATACGGTGCACTGTACGTTATTCCACCAGGGGACATAAAGTACAGAACAGTAAGGAGAGAGGTACACCAGCCCAAACAGGTGGGTTTCCTAAGATAAAGAGGCACTACGAGTCTCGTAGATACTGGGAGCAATACCTTTGACTTCGTAGCAGTTGCCATTAAGCGCTGTCATGCCATTCACTTCGGAGAAGCGCACATGCATACCGCTCTCAAGACCATGAATTTGATTTTCCAAGCAGCTCACAACACCTGGGTTAGCCTGGAAAGAAACAAGTACACATCCAGCCGGATAGAGACACAGACATGGAGCATTGAGCAACATCTCTGCCATTACGCAATGCAACACACAGCTGGAGTGGAGCTGCACAAAGTGGGGTGCAGCCGCTCAATAATCATTCCAAGTGTTCATCGAATCCCCATTAATTATCGGTAAAACAAAGTCAAAGCACACCAAACCACTACGGCAGTACCTTTGTGATGCCACCAACGAAACCTTCCACGGGCTCTTCATCATTGTAGTCGGCGACCTCAAAGCTGTCACCGAAATCGCAGAATACGGACCCAAACACACCGCGGACACTGCCACAGATGAACTGCATTGGAAGAGCAAGATAACAAAGATACAAGCACGGGCACACATACACCTCCTGATATTGCCATAATGATAAGTAAAATAATACAAAAAGACTACCATAATTATATCTCCATTGTAAGCTTCAGGCTTGAATTATACGGGTACCATAATAAGCTATCGGGAAGGTTCAGCCACGATCGGGTAGGTCCAGCCACCATCGGGCAGGTCCAGCCACTGTCGGGCAGGCCCAGCCACTGTCGGGCAGGCCCAGCCACTGTCGGGCAGGCCCAGCCACTGTCGGGCAGGCCCAGCCACTGTCGGGCAGGCCCAGCCACTGTCGGGCAGGCCCAGCCACTGTCGGGCAGGCCCAGCCACTGTCGGGCAGGCCCAGCCACTGTCGGGCAGGCCCAGCCACTGTCGGGCAGGCCCAGCCACTGTCGGGCAGGCCCAGCCACTGCCGGGCAGGCCCAGCCACTGTCGGGCAGGCCCAGCCACTATCGGGCAGGCCCAGCCACTGTCGGGCAGGCCCAGCCACTATCGGGCAGGGTACCGGGTAACCTACAAGCTATCGGGTTGGGCTAGGGAGACCCTGTGAGCTATCAGGCGGGCCAAGTCACTATCGGGTCTGGATGCAAGTGCGGTAACCTGTAAGCTATCGGGCGGGCCAAGCCACTTTAGGGTCGGATCACGTGTGCCCTACAAGCTACCGGGCAGGCCAAGCCACATTAGGGTCGGATCACGTGTGCCCTACAAGCTATCGCGCGGGCCAAGCCACTTTAGGGTCGGGTCACGTGTGCCCTACAAGCTATCGGGCAGGCCAAGCCACTTTAGGGTCGGATCATGTGTGCCCTACAAGCTACCGGGCAGGCCAAGCCACTTTAGGGTCGGATCATGTGTGCCCTACAAGCTATCGGGCGGGCCAAGCCACTTTAGTGTGGGATCACGTGTGCCCTACAAGCTACCGGGCAGGCCAAGCCACTTTAGGGTCGGATCACGTGTGCCCTACAAGCTATCGGGCGGGCCAAGCCACTTTAGTGTGGGATCACGTGTGCCCTACAAGCTATCGCGCAGGCCCAGGCGCGCCCGATAGGGTTGGGTTATGGATACCATATGAGCTATCAGGCGGGCCCAGCCAATATCGACGAGTCAGGTTGCGGGTACTTTATAAGCTAATGGGTGGGCCCTCATGCATGCGATGTCTTCTGCTGTAGTTATTGCGCATGCGCTAGACTTTTGCCCGTCTTTTTTATCGTTTGGAAATTTGGGGCACACCATATCCAGGCTGTTCTGGTACAAGCTGCATTACGCATTGTACATGTACTCCCCACTTCAACTAACATAGCATTGTGTGACAGTGTACCACATTCAACATACCTTGATAGGTGGCGAATGATTGCGACAGTACTCATCAACGAGCAGGGAAAGAGAATGTGTGGCATCCACCAGTATAACACACTGCAGACAAACAACAGTCAAACAACAATGATGTGCTTACTGTCAAGTACAGACTAGCAAGTGTATGTCAAATTAGCCACAGTGTGCGTGACAAAGGCAGGAAACGCTGCAAGAGGCAAGACAATATGCTTTTCAACCCACCAGAGAGACCACCGAATCAGTATCAACTTAAAGGGAGAGTGAGTGAGAGAGAGTGAGAGTGAGAGAGAGTGAGAGTGAGAGTGAGAGAGAGAGAGAGAGAGAGAGAGAGAGAGAGAGAGAGAGAGAGAGAGAGAGAGAGAGAGAGAGAGAGAGAGAGAGAGAGAGAGAGAGAGAGAGAGAGAGAGAGAGGAGTAAGAGTAAGAAAAAGAGTGTGTGTGAGAGAGAGAGAGAGAGAGAGAGAGAGAGAGAGAGAGAGAGAGAGAGAGAGAGAGAGAGAGAGAGAGAGAGAGAGAGAGAGAGAGAGAGAGAGAGAGAGAGAGAGAGAGTAAGAGTAAGAAAAAGAGTGTGTGAGAGAGAGAGAGAGAGAGAGAGAGAGAGAGAGAGAGAGAGAGAGAGAGAGAGAGAGAGAGAGAGAGAGAGAGAGAGAGAGAGAGAGAGAGAGAGAGAGAGAGAGAGAGAGAGAGAGAGAGAGAGAGAGAGAGAGAGAGAGAGAGAGAGAGAGAGAGAGAGAGAGAGAGATGCCTAGTGTAACAACAGACATATTCTCCATAGAACTTAACGCCGGTTAGAAAGTGTGGGAAAGCATTCCTGTGTCTTATAAGAAAGCAAAGAAGGTGAGACATTGAAAGGCGACAGGCTGAGCATGCCGTGATAAATGTAGCAGTAAAGGGTCACACAATAGTCACACAATATTGAACTGTTGCGTGTGTAAGCACACCAGAAGAAACCAAAATTGTATCAGACATGAAACACATCGCCATACTCTAATCAAGTATGACATAACAAGTGGTGGGGGGTGCGACAAAAGTTGGAGCAAAAATATATTGTGAATAGTTAGCGGGTGAGGCTGGAAGCTTAGCACTTCAGTGCTACATAATCTAGATGGTCATGGTAAGTTATAGCAGCATTACAATGTGAACGCATACGCGTGTACGCTCATACACGCACACGTCATGTTTCGCAGCAAATCCCTTCTGATGATTGGGTTAATACGGAAGTTTGACCTCACGTTTCCTTTAGGATCTATTGTAAACCTGGCAATTTCAGCGACACGGAAAACTTAGCAATTTTAGTGAATGCTCAATGCCATGTATTTAGACAGAAATCTTCAAGTGCTAAGTAGAAACACGGCTAAAAGACTATCAGAATCAAATTGCTAAAATTTACGAATATATTCAATATATTCGTCGCTAAGCTTTGCCGGCTTACAGTAGATCAGCTGCTACATGGGGTTCCCTGCAATCTTGTACATGTAAACAAGAATGTGTTACTTCGAAGTAAGAGTTGTTTTCTAAAGCATTTTGGTCTGCAGTAGCTTATGGTGGGCGATAGAAGTTGAACAAATAGGATAAAAAAGCTAGCTCACCTGAAAATCGTCCAGCTGGCTAAGACTGTCGCCGGTCAACGGTGATGAAGAAGACACCACCGACACATACGGGTTCAGCTCCGCTAAGCGAGGTAAGCAAGCCGAGGCGCTGAAGACAGTGAATTGAGAGACAGTGACCGCAGGGGACAGAGATAGAACAACAACAACCAGTCAAACAAGATGCAAGACATGGAGTGAATCCCACACAACTCTGAGAGGGAGCTAAAAGTTGCGTTTACATTGTTTCAGAAAAAGAAGTGAGAGAGATCATAGCTATACAACGCTACCTATTGGTGTTCTGATCATCTGAACTGATGCCAGTATGTGCGTACATGTACATACATCCGGTTCGTTCCTGACGCACTCTTGAAAATGTAGAATGTACCAGTTATGAGGACTCCACGTGTACACTGTATTAAAAGTTTTGTTCAAGAAGAACACCTAGATTGCACTGTAGAAACTGTATCTTATCTTTAACAACATTATGAAAGCTACAACAAGTCGGTATCTGTAAAGGAAGTCATCAGATACCAAACAAGGACCAGAGTCCCAACGAAAACGGCAAAATATCCCATGCTCTATATTTGCAAAGTGGACCGTCTATTATCTCCCTGGTTAACTGTCAGCCCCAGTCAAGGAGCCTTCGTGCTGCAAAAAGAAATTAGTGACCAGATCAGAGTGTTGGAGAACTCACCACTCACTGCATTGTGATCATAGCCATTACGGCTCTACCACGCACATGCTTACATTCACACCAGTCTTAGGTTTACTACATGTATACTGGAGTTACTTCCCCAATGTTGCCGGCACGCTACAATCGTGCAATCAACGCCACAGATAGCTTCGCAATAACTATGCTATGGCACTGCATCAGCTCAGCAGCACGGGGAAGCGGCTCCAGCACGGAAGCACAGTAGCAGCAGCATACAACCAAGCCACCGGCGATTACGTCAGGGGCGGATCCAGGGGGTTCCGGGGGTTCCCTGGAACCCCCTAAATGTCGCAGATGTACTACTGGAAACCATATGCATGTACTTGCACATGTATCAGCTATTCAGTTTTGCCTAAACTGGAACCCCCATGTAGAGATCTCTGGATCCACTCCCGTACATGCACACGGGCTACATACAGCAAGTGCCAGCAGCGACAGAATCTCCAGAATCTCCACCAAAACAGCAAAATACTCAACACTCTTCATTACCATTCAAATAGTGGACAATAGATGTCTTACCGGTTAGAACCCCCATTCAAGGTGTCTTCGTGTCGCAGAAAGAAATTAGTGGCCAGATCAGAGACACATGCTGTTTGTGTGTCGTGTACCGTAACACTCTGTAACAGCAACAGCAACAGCAGTGGCAGCAACACACCTAGAACACTCAGACTTTGTCAATTCGACCTTAGTTGCTCACTAGGCTTCAGAGTGACTGGTTTGGCCAAACACTCCGCTGGTGAGACCTGACTAAAGCCAAAGCAGCTAGTTGTCTGGAGATTGAACATTCTACAAAACATGCGCTAGCACCTTAGAACTACAATGTACAGTGCCTAAGAAAACACTGGTCCACCGAGTACTGATACTATGATGTACCACTACAGCTTCAGTGCTACAAATCTATTCAGTGTAGTATTGTGCCAATATCGTCACTACAGCAGCAGTGTTGCAACTCAATACCCTAATGGTATGGTGCTAATTAGAGTATTGAATTATATTGATAGTGATAGAACACTGCTAAACACTGAGCATAGACAGGTACAGTGATGCCTATCCGCATATGATATGCATGGCAACAGAAAATACAGTACTTTGAAGTATAACATTACATGTAGTGGCCACAGTGTGCTAGAAGCAGTGCGTGTCTGTCACATCCTGTACTTGCCCGATTAGAAGTTGCGTCCAATCAAAGGTGGCACCCCATTCTCTTCAGGCCTCTGTTATATAGTTTCAGTGTGTTATCTTGAGTAGGAAGCGGTTTTAGAGCAGACCTGCTCTTTGCCATTCACTCTCCCGATAAGGGCAATTTTGACGAAACATAATAATTGATTGATAAACATTCGATATTGTTGCAGAGTAAATGGGACAGAGTGGGTCTGCTCTAAAACCACTTCCTATGAAGGAAGCTCCAGGAAGCCTCACCACTGCTATAAACTTGAGTAATAAGTCTAACTTCGCTGTCAGTCACACCCCCTTCATTGGCCTTGGGGCTTCGTGTGAAAAGATGATGCGACTAGTTCAGGGAGAAATGGTACTTGAGAGTATCAATACAACAACTTCACACTCATGCATACCAATTGACCTGAGAAAGCCTCGCACACTTACACGAACACCAGCAAGGATAACATTCTTTGCTGCACAGACGGCAAAAGAGCAACAATGCAGAGAATTAAAAGTTTAAGTAAAACGCAAGCACGAATCACTAAAGTAGAAAATCAGTTAAAGGTGAGCATCACAGCACACACTTATCTTCCTGTACGATGAAATAGGTACCTGAGCAAACCTAGACAGTTGACTGCCACACAGCATACAGGCGGCGGTGGTGGTGATGGGTTTGTCCATTGCACCAACATAAAATTTAACGTATTACTAATTCTATAATTATTATGATGTAGAATGTACAGTAGGACCTTACTAACCTGTCTCAACACCTAGCCCAGTCATGCCGCTGATGAATACATTGCAGCGAGCCATGCGTAACATGGCACTGTCACCCAGGACATAGCGCTGGCGACTGGAAAACAAAAGGTTTCGCAGCAACAGCAATAATACACACCAATGACAGGAACACCAGCTACCAGCAGGACCACCAGTGCCCCTCGGGTGGGGGATGATACGAACTGATATCTGGAACATCAGCAAGAGCAGTAATCTAACCAAAGTAAATTGTAATCAATCGGCTTGATTCTGCAACTGTATGATGTAATTTTTAAAGTAGTTCACAGCCACATATCTTCTGTCGTTACCACTGATAACTAAAAAGTACTTGGTATTCATAAGTGAAGAAGAAGTTGCAGAAGTTCATCACTCATTTTATGTCATTTATATAGATAGATTTCCGTTTTTGAAAATTGAGTATGTTTCATAAGTGATTATTATTATAAATTTATAATTATTGGATGAAGAATTTCTGTAAATGAGAACAGTACAGTGCGCAGCTAAGACATTATATTCGACTGTTGGTTATTCATCAACAATTGAAGTATAACACCAATATCGGTCCGCGCAAGTTACCTGTACAAAGAATCATCAATTTCAGTCATTCTTGCTCTCAGCTGAATTGGTTGCAAGACTGCCTGCCCTGAGGCCAGAGGCTTCGCTTTCTTCGCCTCACCCGCCGTCCTTAGGCTTTACAGTATTGGCTTCTATTCACTGGGGATACACTTCGTTTTGCAATTGTATCCCAGTTCTCCGAATCCTCAAAGAAATTTCACCTTTACTGCTTTCGTAAACATAAAAACACAAGCAGCATGCAGCTCAGCTAGCGCTATAGCTACATGAAAAGATTTGCTGGCTGATTTTGAAAAGAAAAATGCAGCGATGATTGGAAAGGGGATTTCCCTGTAGTCATGGTACATGGCCGGCACGTCATCGTATGAGCATGAGCAAGAGGTCATAACCCCCGGCCGGGGGCCCGGGGGTTATGAACTCATGGTATGAGTATGAGCAAGAGTACATAACCCCCCGGGGGGTTATCCGGGGGGTTATGTACTCTTGGTATGAGTCGACTCGCTGGCTCACTGGCAGTACCGGTTACGGGTACGGTATCCTGATAATTCGTAGATTATCTACTCTTGACATGTACATGTATGTCAAAATGCTCGCATTGACACGTAGAGTTACACTACGCATCTTAGACACAAATTTAATGGACACTGAACTGCCTGCGGGTGCAAACTAAACTGATTTGATGAAAATAGTGAACTTCTATGTTTGCCATCAGCACAAATCCCACACATTTTCTAAAGCGAGCATGCATCTCATAAGTTCGCATTTTTTTGCAAACGTAACGCATTTCGAATACACAGTAGACTTTACCCCCCCCCCCCCCCCTCTATTCGAAAGTCCTATCACACATGTTCTGCATCCATTCCCCATGGTATGCTTATGTACATCATACTACATGTACAATAAGTCATGCCGCATGATGGTATGAATGTTTTGATACAGTAGCACCACATCTACTGAATACATTACAAGTAACAGTTACCGTATTATCTCTAATAATATAAGCACGGTCCTTTATTTTTTCAATGTACCTCCGCCCCGTGCTATTAATGGAGATGTTCCTTTATTGGAGACTGTTCCATTATTATTTCAACCTCATTTCAGAGGCATGTTGCCATGCCAAATTCATGTCAGACACACACATTTCAGGGGGTTTTCGCCGTAAGTGGACTTCTGATTAACCGGACATAACCAGTTCGAGGTTCTAATTATTATTATTATTCGAATTATCAAGCTCGCGCTGGCGTGCCCTTCATCATCGTCCCGTTATAAAAAGTAGGTGGACCAGCTGCACTCTGATCTGATTTCTTGCAGCAAGAATGAAATAGAAAGTTAAAGTTGGGAACTTGAGAGAGTGTTCCTCACTCATTGCATAAATAAACAAAACAAAAACCTAGAAAAGTATAGGAAAATAGGTATCTTGTACGAAACACAAGCTTGTGGAGGATGTACTAGTATGCCTACTTGTAAGAGCAGACATGTCTTTTCATAACCAAAACTTTGCATTCAAAAAGCTTTTGAAAATAGTTCAGGCATCTCAGAGAAATATTTGTTTCTAATTTCAACAATGTTCAAGATAGTTCTGCTTTGGACAATAAATAACGCGGAATTCATCATTCCACAAATAGTTCTAGTGCTCAAAACAACACAGTGCAAAGAAAGCCTCTGCCTCCCAAAGCTTCAGACACAAGTTTCAGAAGAATGCTGTGGAATGGGAGCCAATGCTTACCTCAATAAATCAAATACTTTGAAGTACAACCTAGATTTTCGACTTTCCATCATGAGGATTTCGGCTTTGTACATTGATCAGCCTCATTAGAACTAGGTTTTGAGATGAGCATTGCTGGCAAAGTGGAAACAAGCGCCATGGAGGCCAACATGATGACAATGCGAAGAGAAAACAGGTCACTGACAGCCTGCAGCTGGCTAACGATGAGTCCACCTTGAACACAAAGAAAATTGTATGGTGCCAGCCCTGAGAAAGCAAGGACAACAGTAATGGACAAGAGAACAGGCAAACGCGACATTCCGCATGAATTAGTAAGGTATTGACCCGATCATCAAGCCACTCAGGTAAACTAGGATCCGTTGAAACCCATCAGGTCTGTGTTGAAGACTTGAACCTAACATCTGCAAAGGGCAGGTCCAGTAAGTATGGGATGGGGCTACGTAACCAATTGATATTCACAACACAGCAGCACAGTGTCGCCATACCATGTACAGCAGCATAGTGTCTAGTGTTGACAGCTCATACACATCCAGCCGACAGCCATGCCAATGGGGCCATGCAATGCATTGATCACTGATTCAATGTGTTCCAAGCAGGGTGCACGGCTACATGACAAGCTACACATGCTGAATACAGTATACTACACGACTGAACTACTAATGTATGTAGTCATGCAATTATCAAGGTAAAGGCAAAGGTCACCCATAGTCAATTCTGACAGTAGGGGCAAGAAGTGTTAGAGATCTCCTGTTTCACAAAGCTGGACATAGCGAGGGCGGTGCTCATCACCTCTCCCTCGTCACCTTGCCTCCTAACCGAAGTCAGATACCCATTCCTAAGTAGGTCTACTGGAGGCAACTAGAGGGGAACAAGATAGAAGGTTACTTTTACCTACTTAACCATGACATACAGGTCTAACACCAAACCCTACCGTTCTACACAGATTACGCAAGAGACTGGCAGAACAGAGAGGACTTACCAATCAGCACGGATACAAAGAATTGGGAAATCGGTACACCAGCAAGAGGCGATACCACATTGATCATCCAATTCGGCGTCATCGGGAAAAGGCGCAGAGATACCAGGAAAAAGAAGAGCCGGTGTTGATTGGAATGAACCTGCATAGAGAAAGAGAGAAAAAGAGATAGTACACAGACAGAAAATGCAAATATCAAAATGTCATAGTGAGTGCTACACTGACCGAGTAGAGGTGTGTAGCTGGTGACCACACTCTTGAAACTTTTAGACAGACAAAACTATCACAAAAGCCGTCAGTCAATATGACGTTGGACTGAAGAAGTCAGATTGAAAAGGCGATAAAAGCAGGAGTTGGATGGCATGTTTTCAAACAAGTACACACAACTCACTACTTACCGATTGTTCCATGCTTGACAACCGGTGCGGAAAGTACGTCTCTAGAATGGGCCGGCCAAAATATTTGGATAGAAGAAAGCAGCAGGTTGCACCACACGCTGTCAGCACACAGACCAATGGGAATCCGGTGGGCAAGCCAAACAGAGCTCCAGCAAAAACATTCTAAACACGCACACACAAAGAAATAGAAGAAAAGGCACAGGAGCATGAGTTACACTGCACCTTTTGTTTTTAAGCAAGTCATTCGGACATCAAGCCCTCAAGCTCTCAGCAATAGCTGTGGTCCAATCATGCTTCATTTGAATGCAAACAAACAGGTCCATAAGGATCATTGTTTGTCGTCACGTCCTCACTTCACGTACTGAAATACTCAGTAGACCATCTTGTGGCGAAGTACGGCGCTGCTTGGTAAAGTCTGGGCATCTTGAGTCAGCTAGCACAGTGCACTATACAGCCTCAGCTCTCTGTGAACACTGGGGTGCGCACTGGTGCAGGGCGCTGACTACTGTACTTCTCAGCCCGAGCTTCATTGAGCACGACTGCACTGGAACAAGCTGCACATACATGTACAGTCATGCATTTTAACCGCGGAAGGTTGTAGTAAGGTCACTGTTTCCAAACACAGTGTCCTCCACCTTGTTTCTTGCTGTCAATCTAACAATATGCATGAACTATAACAAGGTTTATCTAATACTAGTTTTGAACTAGTGTTTGGTTATATAATATGTACAGCCATGTACGTGTAGGTAGTATGGTGTGTACTTACCAGCAATGCAGAACCAGGAATAGCAAACGCTTGTTTGAACAAGAAACTCAGGCAGAAAACTAGGAGCAGCCTCGAGAAATGGATTTCTAAGTGGCCACGCAACGATGACACTAGAGTCTGTATTTCAGCCAGTGATGATGGGTAGGAGACGCTACAGACACAGAATGCATGTGTGTGAATACACATACACACCAAGCACATACACACACACACACACGCACATGCACATACGAACGTACGCACGCTCATATGAGCGTGTGCACCCACACACACATCCACACTCACCCACACCGACACACCCACCCACACCGACACCCACACACACACCATTCAATAATCTGGTACAGCCTTAACTTGGAACCAGCTGTGTATCTCATTACTTGTACAAACGTCTGGTATAGTGTAAAATAATGTAGAAGATATTAGACCTGGTATGACTAGAATGGTTCATACATGTACTCCTGACCTTAGACTTAGTTCTTACCCATCTGAGCTTTCGATGAAAGAAAGTGCATAATATGATACTGCGTACAACACTAGCAAAGATCCAATGAAACTGGTCACAATACCCAGCAAGGATTTCCACACCTGTCCTTTCATCGTGGAATAATAATGAATCCACAACTACGTAACGCTATGTAACCACCTGCACAGTCCGGTGTCCAGTGTATCACTGCTGGAAATAGTATAAAACAATAAGCACTGCTACGATAGAAAAGGCCAGGATATCCGGATACCGGTATATCAACAAAGACATGAAACCAGCGCAGTGTCGTGAAAGAAACACAAGTTGAAGTAGTTTGAATGACGAAGAAAAAGCAAGATCAAGTCCATAATTTTATACAAGATGACTGCACTGCAGTTTTGCACTAAATAATTAATTGCAGGCGGGGAGTCCCCGCATCCGGTCCCGTGCTCCGCGTGACCAGGCCGGGAGCCCTGCCCAGTGTGTTGGGCTCCCCGGCCTGGACCATGGCCTGGGTATGACTGCATGCATCAGACTTCATGTATTACTGATCCGAAACTCAGTCTACAGACTCAAGGCTCTTGTCGTGTGTACACGGTGACACCTTTGGTAAAGTTTGGAAACACTGAGGCTGTGCTAACAGAGGTTGATCGCTCTCACTGATGATTATAATTATCATGGCATGGCTGTGCAGCGTCACCGTGGAGTGATACTGCGGCATTATGTCATCATTACCAAGAGTGTCGCATAACCCCCAGGGGTTATGCGACACTCTTGGTGATACTGATAGTACTACCAATCGCCGCAAGAGGCCGGGCCGATCCATCAAACCGAATGTCAGTGCATGGCGACAAACATTCAGTCACACAATGCCTGCATACGTCATAGTATACCACAGCACACTGCCGCAGGGCACTAGACATGCCGCGACGCACGCATGCATGCACAAAACGCGCACGCATGCACACACGCATGCACACACGCACGCACGCATGCATGCACACCCACACCCACACCCACACCCACACACACACACACACACACACACACACACACACACACACACACACACACACACACACACACACACACACACACACACACACACACACACACACACACACACACACACACACACACACACACACACACACACACACACACACACACACACACACACACACACACACACACACACACACACACACACACACACACACACACACACACACACACACACACACACACACACACACACACACACACACACACACACACACACACACACACACACACACACACACACACACACACACACACACACACACACACACACACACACACACACACACACACACACACACACACACACACACACACACACACACACACACACACACACACACACACACACACACACACACACACACACACACACACACACACACACACACACACACACACACACACACACACACACACACACACACACACACACACACACACACACACACACACACACACACACACACACACACACACACACACACACACACACACACACACACACACACACACACACACACACACACACACACACACACACACACACACACACACACACACACACACACACACACACACACACACACACACACACACACACACACACACACACACACACACACACACACACACACACACACACACACACACACACACACACACACACACACACACACACACACACACACACACACACACACACACACACACACACACACACACACACACACACACACACACACACACACACACACACACACACACACACACACACACACACACACACACACACACACACACACACACACACACACACACACACACACACACACACACACACACACACACACACACACACACACACACACACACACACACACACACACACACACACACACACACACACACACACACACACACACACACACACACACACACACACACACACACACACACACACACACACACACACACACACACACACACACACACACACACACACACACACACACACACACACACACACACACACACACACACACACACACACACACACACACACACACACACACACACACACACACACACACACACACACACACACACACACACACACACACACACACACACACACACACACACACACACACACACACACACACACACACACACACACACACACACACACACACACACACACACACACACACACACACACACACACACACACACACACACACACACACACACACACACACACACACACACACACACACACACACACACACACACACACACACACACACACACACACACACACACACACACACACACACACACACACACACACACACACACACACACACACACACACACACACACACACACACACACACACACACACACACACACACACACACACACACACACACACACACACACACACACACACACACACACACACACACACACACACACACACACACACACACACACACACACACACACACACACACACACACACACACACACACACACACACACACACACACACACACACACACACACACACACACACACACACACACACACACACACACACACACACACACACACACACACACACACACACACACACACACACACACACACACACACACACACACACACACACACACACACACACACACACACACACACACACACACACACACACACACACACACACACACACACACACACACACACACACACACACACACACACACACACACACACACACACACACACACACACACACACACACACACACACACACACACACACACACACACACACACACACACACACACACACACACACACACACACACACACACACACACACACACACACACACACACACACACACACACACACACACACACACACACACACACACACACACACACACACACACACACACACACACACACACACACACACAGTGTGCATGCACTCATGCCATCATGGCATGGGCACTGCAATGATTCGCCTACATCACACCTGCACTCAAGTCAAAGATCACAATAATTATTATTATGAAGTCACAAGTGTGAACATTAGATAATATGCTTATATTGCTCTTCGGACTCCGCATTGCGTACCGAGGGCTATACTGAGTATCTGGGCATGAATAGTAATGCACTACGTTACACGTACAGTGGATAGTTTCGCGTAGGCAGGATATGTAGGACGAAAAGAAGGACAATCAATGCAGCTGACGCCGTTTTTCGGCAGGACGAGGAAAGTCACATATTAAAGAGTGGATTGAGGAGTGGGTATTATTATAAAACAAAATGAAAAGCGAGCAGGGCCACTGATTCGGGACTATGCGCTCAGGCGAATCTCATGCATGCAGTGGCTACATGCACAAAAATGCAATGGCTTCAGCCGATAATAGTAACGGCGCAGCAGTGGCAGACCCAACAGCCAGCTAAGTCAGACTGCTGTACACTGGCAAACAAACAACACGGAACTGAATGACAGAACGGCAAATGCAGCCCGACTGACCCGTCCTCAGCCACTAGTCAATGCCAGTTGCTATGGTAGAGCGCACTATTTGGGTATCAGTACTCAAAAGTAAAACCAATTAGCATGTAGCATCATGATAGGGTATACAGCAGCGGCAATTAGCAGACTGAACAAATAGACAGAATGGGACCGAGGAAAAGGAAATTGCAACTGGCATGCAAGTCGTGCACAGGGCATGGTGCTGTACATTAGCCTCTACTCTGATATGTACACCATGCAATAAGACATGCATTGGTATCGGCACCGATATGTTAAAAACTTAAAATAATAATTAGAATCACGACCAATTTTATACTGCTATGTGCTCAAACTCTAGATTATTGCAGGCTATGGACGGTAGCATGCATTTTGATGCATCACCGTTACCAGGTGCACAAGTACATAAACATCTACTGCACACATTTCGTGCTGAAGGGCGGTCAGATAAAATCATGCTGAATGGTGATAAACGAGAAAATCAGCCCAGCCAGTATAGCCAGGAGTGGACAGAATAAAAACAGTAGCATGGGAAATAAAGCAAGTTTGCAATTGGCTTACAAATGTGCAGCACTCAATAGGCGTTCGCAGGTTGTCTTGTAGAGCCAGGTGTCCCCCTTGATTCGCTTGCGACTAATGCCTGCATGATCAGACAACAACACAACATGGCAACAACAGCTGGAGTGAAGACCTACAAGAGAGGATCAGCACTTACCAGCGTACCTAATGCTAATAATTACAAAAATGATTATCACTTCAGCTCAGAAGTACAGTCCTGGCCAAAGAAAACCTGACCTACGAGTCGAAAGTACCATTTCCAATACCGTGACGCACCGTCCAAAAACCCACCCGAAGGCCACAGGGCCGAGTGAGCCTCAGCACTGCTTTCCCTCTAAGTCACGTGGATAGGATTTCTTTCGCCACGACTGTAGTTAAAACACTCCAGTCTAGTGTATACTGTTGGGAGTTGACTATTATATTTTTTTGCATTGGAATCTTTTTCGTTGCCATCTCATCAGAAGGATTTTAGTGGCAAAGCTAAATCAACGAGTAACACATCATATAAATACTCAAAGTTCCGTGAGGTGAATTAATACAGGCATCAGTATAAACAATGAGAGCTGAGAACAAAAGGCACCATTGGCATTTTGATCAAAACTGTTGCAATCACAAGCTAAGAGATAATTCTTCTGATGAGACGGCAATGAAAATGTCTAAGGATACCTAACCTTTGTGAATGGTGTGTGCATTGAATGCACAACTCCCTTCATTCATTGCATTGATTTCATCTCTGTCTCAACGAAAACTGTTTAGCTGAAGTTCCGTTATATCAAGTCCCACCTTCGCTGCACAGTCTGTATTGGCTATAGAGTGACCATTGTAAGGATATGCATATATCGGCTAAAGTGATGTTAGGCGGAAAGTACATATACATGCCCTTCATCTCTTCCGTTCGCGTGTTTGTGCGGTTCGGCTTGGCTATGATGGGCCATCCGAACGAATGATTGTCAAGTGGTTGTGTGCGTGCATGTGTACCTGACATGTCCACAGTACATGACTGTACAGAACAGTGTAATTTGCACGCACACATGTGACCATGTGCCGATGGGGTCGCGGACCTTTTAAGGTACGCATACACGTACATGTGCATGCAATATCGCTGTGCATTAGATAACGTGATAAAAGCGTATACAGACTGTATAGGCGATTGTCAGTGAATTTATCGCTAAAGCCGATGAGCGTCACTATACTTATCGGGAAAGAGCGAGTGTCCGTATTTCCAATGCCAAAAAACATCAGTTGTAGGGAGTTGAAAGAGCAAAAGTCTGGTGGTGGCGGTCACTTATTCTTCAGACCTTTCCCCTGTCAAGTTTCAACTCCTTTCCCACATTCAGACAACAGCGATGAAGGCAAAGTGATCATGTGGTCAACAGGGTTCGTCTTACCAATCAAATCCATGCGAGGCAATTGGCAAACCTCCATGTCGAACGACAGGTTGACCTTGCCATCCTTTCCGAGCGTCTTGCAGCGAATAACATACCTTGAGTTATGCATGCAAACAAAATGAGAAAAAATCAACGGTTAACTGTTACAGCATGTATCACCTCTTTTTAAAGCAAAGCATCACACATCTCAACAATACAGTCAACAATGCCAGTTGGTGAAATTAGCGCCACGTTTCCCCACCTCGTGAGTGATTTTCAGAAAATGACAAGGATGTAACGTTTTAACATTTTTCAATAGAACACACGCACACACAATGGCATGTAGCAATAACCAGCAAACACAACACAAACGCAAGTAAATTGACCGGGAATTCGGTCCCTGTTCTGTACTATACATACCCTTTCACACGGTGCACGATTTGCTCTTCTTTCACCACACGCTGCAGCTCAGACAGCACTTCTTCAGCAGTTTTGGTTGAGGTCGTCTGCACATTGTACAATGCCTGGACGATGGGAGACAACGCATGAAAATAGACACGAAGAACAACATGGGTAAACAGTGACGGTGATGGTTCCGATCTTTGTTCCACCGAAGTATCCATAAATATGCACTGGCCGGGGAACAAGAGACAGAGGTAGACATTTAAAAAATATTTTATAACTTTAGTGATGCATGTTGGTAGGTTGGGACGGGTGCAATCTCACCTTGACTTTACGTGGACCTTTCCCAGGTGATGATGATGATCCCAAGGAGTCACGCACATTGGCAACAATCCGATTCAAACTGCCACGGAACTAAGACAGCAAGCAGCACAATTTAACTCAGAAAGGGCAATGCTTGGAATAAGGACAATTGAAACGTGCTTGCATGGGAATTTTGGGTGCAAGAAGCTACAAAAGAACACAGCCTATATATTTTCCTGTTTTGTTCCCTCAATCGGACGAATACAGAATCTAGTTCTGGTGCGTTAAATGACAAAAAGGGGAATTGTAAAAGGCGACGAGGAGACAACAGTCTGAGTAAAGATATGGACATAATTATAACTGTGCTGTCATGTCCACACATACAAAGCAACGTAGTAAGTAAAAATCCAGAACGTTTTCTTGTGACCTTCTTCAGTGGAATGAACATCACATTAAAAATGGAATAACATAGGAATATATTCACACCATGCACCGCCGCGGTGATGGCATCTAACGTGTCTCATGAGATGAGCACTGACAGTGGCATAGACAGTGGCCGCTGCTGACTTACCCCACCTTTCTCCAATGTGCCGCTTTGAGATTGCTCTTGTGGATGGGTGAGCGTAGCACCATGCTTCCTTGATCTGCTCGGTGTTGCAAGTCCAGCCAATGCTGATGTTGGGTTTGTACCTTGGGGCAACGTGGCAGCAGCACCGACCGAAGCACGGCCATGACTGCCGGGACCACCCAACGAAAGTTGGTTGAGTCGCTCGTCCACAGACGCAGCCCTGCCAACGCAATTCAGGCAATTGGCAAGAACAATAACAAACCAGGGACAAGAACCAGGGCAAGGAGACTAAATGAGACAGGGATGGTAGTACAAACAACGGCACATGAAGAAGCACCATACATACATGTACCCTCCCCCCCCCCCCTCCCTTGCGCATAGGCACTCCCCCTTGGCCTTGGACTTAATCATACATTTGCAAATCCCTGCAAACAGAAATTCATAGACTTCAAACTTTCAAAGCACTTAAAACACTGGAGTAGGAAGCTCCTGTGTGATTGTTTGTCACCGGCTAAAATTCATCTACATGTATGTTGTATGAGTTATAGTGATGCACTGCATGAGTTATAGTGATGCACTGCAAATGAGTTGTCCAACGTTGTACAGTCCGGCAGCTGAGCTGAACTACACTGTGACAACCGCACATCTGAGCTGCACACTCTGGTTTCAATGCACCTTGTACTGTGCATGCAAGTCAGTCAACTGTACCTGTGCCGTGCCGAAAGAGCCGGTGCCAGTAGAGCCTCAGAGCCTGACTTGAAAGCATCGTCGTCTCCACCTAAATAATTAGAGTCTGGAGGAGCACTGGCTGCAGACTTGTCCAAGGATTCATCTACCGAATGGGATCGACCTGCACCTCGTCCTCCTCCTTTAGTCAGCAGACAGGCAGAGGTAGAAAGCATGCAGGGCAGAAATAACTCTTTGATTTTGCAATATACTCACGCACGCCACTATCACCCGTTATTCATAATGATTCGCACAAACAAGCAAACATGGAAATATAGAAGGGAACACAAGGGAACGAGTTATGAAGCAACTGTCCACAACTGTAACAAGATAGATAAGTGGTCAAAAAGTGCGATAACAGGGCGCAAAAACTTGACAGGCTACTGAGACATTCAACGACCCGACACCTAGCTCCAACACATCTCCAGCACGCAGACTAATCTTATCTTGCTTACCCACTACTGACAGCCGCCGCATTCTCAAGCACGTACTCCTTGCTCATAAAATTCACCATAAGCATGCACGCTCGCACATCACCAACCTTGCTTTTACCCCTGTTGTGATCACAGCCTACCCCCTTAGGCACCCTCGCTCCTATCACCTGCCAACAACCGTACTGACCGGCACAAAGGCTCCCCATTCAACATTGCGTTTGACCACAGAAAGGGTTACAGGATCTGCCGCCAATCTTCAATTTATCGCCACTCGATCATTTGTTGAGCTATCGCCACACCGAAAACACCTTTGGAAAGCCCTTTCCAGGACCGTTCCAATGAGCTACTGACCATGGCGGTGCGATATTTCGTTCCAAAGTTATGACTGTACAGTGATTTATCCAGTGCATACGGTATGTGCACTGTACACTAAGTATAGCGCGAGTATCCTCGGCATTGCCCAGACGCGACGGGGTCTGCATGACGAGTATCTTCGGCATTGCCCAGACGCGACGGGGTCTGCATGACGAGTATCCTCGGCATTGCCCAGACGCGACGGGGTCTGCATGACGAGTATCCTCGGCATTGCCCAGACGCGACGGGGTCTGCATGACGAGTATCCTCGGCATTGCCCAGACGCGACGGGGTCTGCATGACGAGTATCCTCGGCATTGCCCAGACGCGACGGGGTCTGCATGACGAGTATCCTCGGCATTGCCCAGACGCGATGGGGTCTGCATGACGAGTATCCTCGGCATTGCCCAGACGCGACGGGGTCTGCATGACGAGTATCCTCGGCATTGCCCAGACGCGACGGGGTCTGCATGACGAGTATCCTCGGCATTGCCCAGACGCGACGGGGTCTGCATGACGAGTATCCTCGGCATTGCCCAGACGTGACGGGGTCTGCATGACGAGTATACTCGGCATTGCCCAGACGCGACGGGGTCTGCATGACGAGTATACTCGTCATTGCCCAGACGCGACGGGGTCTGCATGATGAGTATACTCGGCATTGCCCAGACGCGACGGGGTCTGCATGACGAGTATACTCGTCATAAACCCGGAAAGGGTTAAAGGATCTGCCGGCAATCTTCTTGTGAATAATATTTTCAGCTGCTCTCACCATGCAACCACTAGGTTCAAACTTCCTTCCCTCCTTGTTATTATTACGATTCTCTCATCTCTTGTTTTCACCTCTCCCCTACAGTCCATTCATAAAAAGATGGGCCCTGGCTCTGGCGAGCTCCCGTATTTGGCGATTTTTCGTGATTTCATCGTACACAGTGCGGTGCTGCGAAATTTGAAATTTGAAAAAGGGTCCAAAAAGGGTACCTGAACTGGGGTTCGAACCGCACAATGCACTGTTGCAGACGGGGTCAAACGGCCTGGATTTTTACGGTTTTTCCCAATTCAATGCTTTGGGGGCAAAACCTGGCCGAAATCCTATTCTTGTTATGGCTTGCTTTTTGGAGAAAAAAACGTCAGAAACATTATTGGAAGAGGATTCCATAGGGGATTGCAGAAAAAAATTCTAAAAAAACTCAAAGTGTGACCCATTTATGGCCAAAAGCTAGAAGTCCATCTTTTTCTGAATGGGCTGTAGTCGTTCCAGTTCTCCCATCTCTTATCGGCACTTCTTCTCTTGTCACTACATTCTCTCATCTCATATTAACGCGAGTCGCCATCGTGAGATAAAGAATAATATTGCTTGCCGCGTATGATTAATTTTGTGAAATTAAGGACTGTTACAAAATGGATTTTACTCAAAGGAAAACGAGTAAAGGAAGCATTGCTTAGCATTTAAATCCATACCATGCTTCTGAAGGAACAGGTTGACAGGGCTTTTGTTGTTTGATGCCTCAATGGAAGAAGCTGGACGCTGTCGGTGATCTCCGGTATCTGCAAAGCATGGGGTGGATGTACAAAACACTATCCAGTTATTTTAAAACTACAGTCTTGTACATCACGTACATGTCATTTTAAAATCGGAACTTTTGATATGGTAATCAGATATCATGCAGAAACAGATGTACAGTTATCTGGCTGTTTCTGATGTGATACTCGCTCGCTAATGCAACCCCATCCCATGCTGATTTTTCAAGGCAATACAGTACGTGACCATGGAGATGCCACTAGTTGTCACCCTAGGTAGTGGCCGGTGGCTGTGTGTTGCCTATATTCTCCTTGCATGTTCATGCTTCATCGTTATCAGCAGTACTATTGGATACAAAAGCAGGTGCCGGATAAAACTAAAACTTACGTCACAAACCCTAGGTATGAATTTGCTGCAATGTCATGGAAACTATGCGGAGAACAATGCAATTGTTGACGTTTGGCTGATGGGTTATGCAACAATTGCAGAAATGGGCACAAGTGTGGGTATAGGCTACACTCACAGTATTATGCTGAACTCAGTTACATGTAGTAGAGTGCGGAGGTGCAGACACTTTCTAATATAGGATAATTGGTTGACTACGGTAGGGCATGTGCTTTTCTGTTTGCATCCTTGCCAGGTACTACCAGTCATTCTAGAAAGGCTCTGTATGAGTTATCTGCACTAATAGCTTTCACTAAGTCAAGACTAAAAGAACGAATGAACAGCGACAGGTAAATCTGAAAAGACACACGTGCTAGTATAAATGAAATTGTGCATACTCTAGCCAGCACTTCATGTAAGAGTCCTGGCAGCGGTCAGTTGGGGTACAACCCGGCAGCGGTCAGTTGGGGTACAACCCGGCAGCGGTCAGCTGGGGTACAAACCGGCAGCACACATGCAGGCCGACCATGTGCACCCGTTGATCAGCGGTTTGGGCCTGAGATTCTGACTCAAAGTAGACTCTCTGGCTTACCTGTGGCTCTGCGGTTGGGAGCTGGCGATCTTGGTGCTGACTCCTCTACGTCACTACCGGGCAAACTCTCCATACTAAAGTACATGCTGTTGCTATCGTCAAAGGATTGCAGCTGCAAGTATATTTTGTAAAATATGACGGGCACAAGAATGAACAACCATCACAGCCAATACCTCTGATGATGCCCTCCTGGGTGAAAATTCGAAGAAAATCGGTTTGTGTAATGTAGCCAAGGAATGTTTGTGCAATACGGGTTGGACATTGGTAAAACGACGGTCAACCTTGCAAATAATGACCCTTGGTTGTGTATGAGGAAAGTGTCGGTATTCACGATTTGTTGTTATTGGGGAGAGGTAGAAAGCATCCAGTCAATTGGTCACTAGGTCCGAAGATCGTGCCCTTACACTTTGGAGCTTTGGCTTCGAATGTGACAGTGTGTTTGGCGTCAAGCCACTCCAGGTTTCCATTACTGTTAATTCCCAGAGGTTTATAGATAAAATGCAAATGCACGCCTGGCCTTGGCACGCTGCCCACAAGCATGCCTGGACCAGCAATACCATACTATGTAGTAGGAGTGAAACAAGAGTGCGCGTCAACGGGAACTGTGAATTGCTAAAAGAATCCTTCGACACCTTTGCTCGTATTAATGAAGAAGGTTCGTTTGGCAAATTGAGACCTTCGTTTACCCCTACTATGTAGTGTGAAAACGTGCACGAATCTGTCCTGCTCCAAGGGCGATTGGGAGGTGTAGCCAGGGAGCGAAATCCACACCGTTTCATTCTACAGTCGCCTGCATCGTCTCCCCGGATGCCACGATTCCCTGGTGATCACCTAACACTTGCAATCTTTGTTTCTGCAACCTTCATCACCCAACATCCAACAGCTAGCAGCTCCAAGCAGCAGCCATGATGCAGCAACACCTATGAACACCGGACTTGCTAACGTTATATAACTTACCCGGAATTTGGGCAACGGTCTGTTGCATCCACAATGAGATTGAGTATGGTTCACCGGAACATACACACAAGGACAAGCCATGGAACAGACAATGAACAACACATAACCAAGAATATATAGCAACCTTCCATGTAACAAGACTGTTGGTTTCCACACTAGAAATGTGTTCTAGTAAGGAATGCCTCTGTCTTCTTGGGCCTAATTGTCACACTATCTATCATTATCTGGCCAAACCGGTGATTTGTTGATCATAACTCACATACAATTGTTTCTTATCTTCTTCAAAATAGACCACATTGCATCTCTCTCACGGCTTCATGCAACTATAAAATGTTCGTGGTGAATTTGCTAAGCCATATCCAGTAGGAGAAGTGATTTCAGTTATTCTTTTACACGATTTGTTCACACTATAGTTGTCCAAAATAATGATGGTGCTACCAATTTAGAACGTCTAATCTATGTTTGCAGCTGAACACATCACCACTTTACTTACGATCCCGTGGGAGTGCCTGGTGATCTGAGTGGATTCAGTGACTCCCGAGGCGGTGGCTGCACCTTCAGAGCAGGCCTCTTACCAGCTTGCTTCATCTTGTGTAGGAGAAAGTATGTTGCTGTGAAGCTATCATACTTCCACTGCAATACCAAGCAAACAAACCAACAGCATTCAACGCAAAATGTTCATACCCTACCAATGGTAGAAAAAGCAGGACTGAAATAAAGTGCCAACATTGAGTGTATTTTCGCATATTACACAAAGACTATAATTATAAGTCGGTAAGTAGGCATTTCCACACATCTCTAACTGTATTCCTTTTCAACATTCTACATTCTCCATTCGCTGGGGAAATGATTACATTTGCCACTAGATCTGCTGGACATCTAACAGGAAAGCTGATACCACATCCGTGGTGTGGATGTGTTTACCTATTGTCCAGAGTGCTCAAGGCATCAATCACACTGACACGTGGTGCCACGTCCATGCCGACGCACTAAATGAGCTGTGCAATGGTTCTGCTCAACAATGTTCTCGCTCTCAACCAAAATAAATTTACCGTCTTCAGCTCCGCCACCACACTTTCCTCTGTGCGGCCATAAGCGCGGCAGATTTCCTTAACCACATCCACGTCATATTCTTCTTCCTGCAGAGATCATCACAAAAAGAACAGCAGTGTTACGCATCTTGTTTTATCACCAGTAAGGTTCTTTTAGATGCTACACATTTGCACATAATTATTTGCCTCTTTCTCTAGCTTCTCTCACTCTAGCGTCTCTCTCTCTCTCTCTCACTCTCTCTCTCTCACTCACTCTCTCTCTCTCTCTCTCTCTCTCTCTCTCTCTCTCCCGGGCCTCTCCCCAAAAACTCTCCCTTGTTTTCTGCTTTTATCCTCGGGCAATAGACTACGTTCCAGTCTACGTGAAACATACCTCATATACAGATGTGTGGTCAACTGGTTTGTCGTACGCTTTGTTCATCCACGGATGGGTGATGACACCACCAATGGATAAACGCCGTTTGGGTTCCAGCTACACATTGAGCAAAAAACACACAGAGAAATGAAAGATGCAAACCGGTCATACTTTTGAAGTAAGTCAATGTAAACAAGAAAACCGAGTCAGATTAAGACAAGACAGGCTATCAATGCACCCCCAACATTGAACCCCTTCCCCTCTACCATTTCATCCTATCACTGCCCCAATGCTCATAAATTAGCTAACCTCCTCCTTACCGACCACTCTACTAAACATCTAATCATAGGCTTCGAACCATCACTCCTCAAACTACCTTTCTTGTATGTGGGAATGTCATTATGCCATGACTTTGTACTCGGATACGTGCCAGTGCAATGCTATTATTACATCTAGATTATGCACAGCCAGCAAAGTAACAGGTTGCATCAGCCAATCACAACGGCTTGGTTTGCTATGTGTCTGACAACAAAACAGTGCCCAGCCATGTATAATGTAATAGTGCACACAAACTGAGGCACAACAGGCACAAAGGATGTTTACATTGTTCGTCAGCTATGAACTCTGTAAACATCCTGCCGGTGCCTGTTGTGTGTAATAGTGATCGACGTTATTGTGTTGAGCCCTCTCCACTGGCAAAAGGAAGATTCCTCCTCATTTGTAATGTTATAGTATACACATATAACCAGTGTGACGTGGTACAATAATGCCTATGCTTGCCGTGTACAGTCGACGCCCGAAAGGAGTGAGTGTGGGGCTGCACTTTATGTATGAATCACATCAGCAATACTCTCACGTACAACAATGAGCTCTCCCAGGAACTTGACACTGAGCTGCGAAAGCCAGTTGGGAATATCGTATTTCCCACGCTGAAAGAAAAAGCATAACACCATTGTAAAATGAGCGACTAGGTGACATTAGTTTTCGAAGTGCGGTCAACAGAATCTGATATTGGAAAGGAGATAATGTAAGTATGCCAGCTATCCGTGCAGTTGTGAGTTTCCTATCAAACACTTGGAAGGTTAGGGAAACATGATTTCTATCAATATCAGACAGTATCATAATTCATAATTCTTTTGTTAAGGAAGTGCTTTTATCTTGCCTAATGGCAGAGTGTTCTTACCAAGGCCGTCACAGCCGGGGCGGCTGGGGCGGCTGAGGCCGCCCCACTTTTTCGGCCGGTTTTTTTTTTAGCACATTACAACAAAGCACAATGATCGCAGCTTAGCGCAAACGTGACAAATCCTTGTCCCCGATCGTGGTTTGTTGCAGAAAAAAGTCTTTCATTGCAGTTACACTGAAATGGCACCAAATGCCTGGAAATGCTTGCAATTGGCTTCAATTTTTGAATTTTTTCCTCGGGGAGGGTAATGTTTGTCCCCGATCGTAGCGTCTTCTTCGTTTGTTCCAGAATCAAAAAGACTTTCATTGTAGTTACCGTACACTGAAATGGCACCAAATACCCGGAAATGCTTGCAATTGGCTTCAATTTTGAAATTTTTTCCCGGGGGAGGACCCCCGGACCCCCCCCCCTTCCAGGGCCGCCCCACCTCCAAAGTCGGTGCGACGGGCCTGCTTATACACAACGGCAGAACAATATTCGGTTGTAACATAGAGTGTCACGAAACATGTCACTCTTTCACCGTGAACCAGAAGAGTGTGTGGGGAAGTTCAACTCTAGATTTTTTTATCACAGCAGAACCCTGATAAGACAATCATACCCCATGGGCAACTTTGTACGGTAGTATCCGAGGTACTTCTTATCCCTACATACTTAAAGACCAGGTCCGCCCCTTGTAAATAATTGTTCTGACAATGGGTGACATCACTATAAATAATTTTTATAAATAATTTTTCATCCAGCGCATGCGGCAATTGTGAGTAGCAACTGAATAGATCGGTTGTCAGTTGACAAACCTCCTTTTCTTTAGAGACTTCTGTATGGATCAATACGCCCCTACTCCAGACAATGTTCATGCTAAGCAAGAGTATGCCACGGTCTTATCAGAGTACGTGCTAAGTGACTTCCACTGTATTTACTATTTAGAAAGGTGCATGTTGGCCTTAGAAAGGTGCGTGTTGGCCATATATAGACAGTAGGAGTACCAGTTTGTGCATTTCACTGACTGCGATTGGCAGTAGGGAGGTTCTGCTCTACGTTTTGGGAACGCGACGCAAAGAATCACGCGAACTTTCTTCGCGTTCCCGTAACGTAAAGAAATGCTGTTCTGCTCTACGTTTCGCCTAGAGAAGTCACGTGGAATGTGTACTGGGAATTTCCCCTTCCATATTTGGCAGTTTTCTGCATGCAGTTGATCGATACCCAGCAAATCCGTACGCATTTTCTCTGCGTGTGCCACAACGTAGAGAACTCCATCTCCGCGTAGAAATCTGGAGCCAAAACACGCGAAGCCGTAGACTCTAACCCAGACACCTGCTCTCTACGTGATTTCTCTACGTTTCACGTATAGCAGAACCTCCCTACTATCTGTTCAACAGAGCCCACAGGAGTGCTCACTGCTCAACACCAAAGAGTGTAAATGGATATGACACCCAGGATGAGTGCTCTTCAGCAAGGGGATCGCTGATGGCAGGCTGGATCAAGCAGCAGTGGTGTGATGAGCCATAATGTGACAACTGCACATACCGTACACCTACCTTGATCAATGAATACAGTATAGCTGTGTTGTCGTCATCGAAGGGAAGAAATCCACACAGCAAGGCATACAGGAGAACACCTAAGCTCCATACATCAGCCTGCAGTGTCAACACAAATCATGACCGTTGCATCAGTACTGTAACTTGAGCTACAAACACACCCGTTTGTCTGGTCCTTCAAGTCATCCTGTTCACTCCGTGATCTGCTTTCAAATGTCCAAGACAGTTTTCAAAACCCCAACACTCTTCTTGTTACATTTCCTACTCTAATGGTCAAATCACTGCACGTTTACCATTGTATAGAGTGAGGAAAATAAGGACTCCCAAAAGTGCCGGTGAAAAGTGTTATCGATCCCTCGGTGTTCAGCCTGAAGAGATCTGAGTTGTATTTTCACTCTAATATCATGAACACTAATCAATCAAGCATTCTTTGCTTTGGTATGCTGAGAGCCTGAGACCAATGTTGTACAAGAAATCAATAGTCCAAAGGCCTATTTACGGTGTGCCTCCCTCCTGTGACAAAAGAGAGGAGATGAACATTACCTCCACTAAGCCGAGCCCTTTGGAACAAGAGGCCTCTAACTACTCTCAAGAGTCCATAAACAAGAGTATGCAACTGTGATCTCTTTTCTATGGGCCAGATGCGCGGCGCGCTGCCTTCATTACATCATTCAGCTGCAGTCCGCGCACTGCGGAAAATCAAACACCGCGCTTTCCCTCTGGTTTGAAATGAATTTTCGTACGGAACTGGAGTTCACGCGCCAAAATTTAGAGATCGCGTAGGTACTGGAATGAATCGAGCAAAAACGGATGGGCTCGTACGAGAAATTGTGGGTTTGAGTGTATGCTTTCAGAGCGTGATGGAGGCAAGTTACGTAATGAAGGCAGCGCGCCGCGCACTGGCCCATAACCACAGCTGCACACTCTTGTCTATGCACTCTTGCTACTCTATATAAGCGTTAGGTAAAGTAATAACATTCCAATAGTAACCCGGGAATGGTCATCTTTCTTACCTCCGTGCCCAGATACGGTCTTGCTTGAATCAACTCTGTAAGCAAGCACAACACGTGCATGGGGAAATGAAGCTTCTTTACAAGTACACACATCTGCTCCTGTGTTTTGTCCTTGTAGACAGGAATGATGTGTAGCATTATGAAGAACATTGAACATGATGATGTTCTTCACCGAGTAAAAATGTCATTATACTGCCAGCTTACCACCAAAGCAAACTCGACTCCTACACACAATACAGATATACAGTCAGGGGCATCGGAAGGAGGTAGAAAGTGGTACGGCTCGACAGTCAGAGGGGATCCGGGGGAGACTTCCCGCGGGAATTTATTTTCAAAAAACACTCAAAATACCCTCTCAGAGGGTCTCCAAAAGTACGAAGTAAAAAAAGGATAACAAAGAGACCGACTAGATCTACGGGTCATGACGCATACATGCCATGCAGTTCCGTAGTCGACAGTCTAGTCACGCGTTACACGGTGCAGTGACCTGATTGGTGCACCGGTGACGGATCGCGGCTCACGATCACGCATGGTCATGTACAAACTCGATACCCCCATTTTTTTACACCGGATTTGGACGTTCCGCGTGGACCACCTGGAGCCAAAAGTGGTACAGCTCGAGCCGTACCAGTCGTACCGCTTCCGACGCCCTTGGCAGTACAGCCTATCTGCCTTATCTCTTATACACTGAGGTGACTAGGAACAGGAGGGTGTCCGCATCTCATAATCGCTTGTAACTCGGAAATATGCTACAACCATAGTAGATGTTGTGCATCACCAGTTACACTACAGCCGATGACACATCATTCTCTTCAGTTGGGCTCACTCAACAAAGATCGACACCAGTCACAGGCATACATAACAGGACAGCTCTTTATGACGCGAGTCACAGAGCACCACACTGAACCTATCAGTTACAACTAGCTAGACACGACTGTAGTGCTCTGTGACTTGTGTACTGTGTACGTATACACAAGAACGTGCTGCGCTGATTGGGATATTGTGAGTGCGTGACACGGTTGAACATGGGTGCGGCTATTCTGCACCTGTACAGTGCCAATGCCTCCCAGCAGGGTCAAATTGCTGTCAAAAAAGCAAGAAACACAGCTGTGCTTTGCTCACCTGGAGCAGCATAGGCAGGAGATCCACAGCAGGTTGCAAGCGGCATATCGAGAGACTACAAGAACAATGAGAACAATGAGTGATGGCACAGTCAGTCCCGGCATTGAAGCAACAGGAAGGACATATGCAAGTGTACTCCCAGCTCCATTATCAACACACGAAAATGCATACACACACGTCCACACACACACCCGTACAAGTAAATACACACACCACATGTTAGAATGCTATACAACATGATAGCATTTAGATCATGGTGGTCTAGTAAAATTATTTACTCCAGAAAATCAAGAACGTCAAGATTGGCCCTGGTATCTCTACTCCCAGTTGAAGTGTTCTGGCACACAAGATACATACACTGAGGTACATACACTGAGGTACATGCTTACAGATGGATGTGCTACCAAGCCAAAGTCAATAAGCTTGATGTTCTGCAGATAGACAAGCACAAGGAAAGGTATAGTACTCAATCTGTGGACAGAACTGTTTCGTCATTTGTGGACAGTATAATGTATGTAGTGCTCTCAGCTGCACATATTCAGCCCACCCAGAAAACACACAGATGTACACATGAAATTACCCTTTGACTCCGCGTTGCACACAATTTGACGGTATTCCACGGATGACGTCAATCAGCCATAACTTGGTCTAATACTGCACCATCGTGATAATTGAGGTATGTATGTTGTAGGGAACTTGTAGCAACTGAAATCTCCAGCTTTCCCCGAATGGCGTAAGTTGCTCCACGTTTCGCTTAGCTGCAACGACTGCCGAAATATAGCGCTCGAGAGTTTGGTGACGGCACTTTTTCTTGCTCCGGGCGCATTTTCAGGCATGAAACGAACGGGGAATTGCCCTTGCTCTCATGTGCCAGTCATTAAAAAATATTCGTGTAGATTCCAGTGCTGGCTACCGGCTACAGGAGTATCAACACATTCAGAGCTGGGTGAGCAAGGAAATTGAAATGGCTAAAGCAGAAGGGGATTGAGGGCATTACCGACAATGCAATTTAGTGACTTCCCTAGACTGTATACTTAGCTGGGCCTGCACTTCCAATTTTGCTGGGTGATACTAGTAGCTCATAGTATTCACGCTCACAGGAATTTTCCAGAGAGATCAAGAGTGCGAAAATCAGGGAAGCATAACGTCATGACCGAAAGTTGGTGTATTTTGCACAAAAACTGCAATGCTTCCAGGTCAAACAAGTACCTTCTGCTGCACACCAGTGCGACCCCCACCGATGTGTACATCACAGATTAGCGTATCTCACTGCACTTCACTCTGCGTGCTCCCTTCTTATTGTACTTGTAGGTGTATGTGTAATAGCTCATGACCTTGAGTTTTAACCCCCTGCCATCACACATGCTATCTACTGTACGCTACATGTGTCAGTGGGTAGCTCAGCGGGAATGCAACAACCTTCAGGGTTCTCGTCAAAAACGACATAGCCGGGCACTGTGCCCTCCTTCACTTTTTGACCGCCCCCTTTTAAAATGAATGCGCCACCCTTCAGAGCACGAGCACCACCTTTGTATATACATGTTAAGTACACATCATGTAGAAGCACAGCATAACATGGCGGCACAAAACGGCGGTAAAAATCACAAAATTTTGGATCCGATGATCCCCGTCCCCTTCACTTTTGTTCTGGCCTTTATGGGGTATTCACACGACAGGCAAATCCACGTGCACCAGAAAGTTGCTATGGTATTTTACCTGTGAACGAGAAAAGTGCCTGAAAGTGGCTGAAAAGTGAAAGCGAGCTAGGGGCCCGCTTTCACGATAATCGTGGCGTGCACGAGTACATTTACACCAAAAAGCGCGAAACAAGACTTGATTTTTTACGCGGCTCTTTAGAGCATGATAATTATTGTATGTGTGTTTTGAAAATTTGAAATACCCATGGCTACTGGTCGGTGAAGCATTGAAAAATGCAAACGTGCCTGTCGTCGAGTGCAGCTGTGTGAATCCACACAGTCACTTTTCTCGTATGTCACTACCTGTAAAACGTGCAAGTGCCTGTCGTGTGAATACCCCATTAACCCTGACCTTAGGACAATCTGAGTGCATGTACTATATGCTACTACTGACCTGGTGTTCATCTAATAGGAGGTTTTCCTGCAGTGGAAAGAACAATAGCCATGCGCGCGCGTACGCGTCCACACACACACACACACACACACACACACACACACACACACACACACACACACACACGCACACACACACACACACACACACACACACACACACACGCACACACACACACACACACACACACACACACACACACACACACACACACACATATGCACACACACACACACACGCACACACACACACACACACACACACGCACACACACACACACACACACACACACACACACACACACACGCACACACACACACACACACACACACACACACACACACACATATGCACACACACACACACACGTGCACAGACAACCAGGTTTCTGAGAGGCACATAAAGGGTACATGTACATGCACTGGTGAGGAAGCTGCTCACTGGCACTGGCACCAGAGTGTGCACAGGTGCTAGTCCGCATTGAGAATGAGACTCAACACTGTCCCAAAGACCATATCCCGTGAAGGTATAGCTAGGCACAAGCTTGCATAGCAGGTTAATTCAAGCGTGTCGAAAGAACTAACCGGCTTCAGGTCGCGGTGGGCATAGCCCTTCGAATGCACATAGGCCACAGCAGATATTACTTGACGGAAGAACTTTCTTGCCTCTTGCTCCTGGACGAGACAGAGAAACAGCAACAGGTATAAACAAAGATGATTTGCATGGCACTGCTGCTTTGTCTTTTTTTCTAAGCAATGGCTGGTTATCTTGTAATTGCCCACACATTACTTCTGATTGGCATAGGGTACAGGAATGTAATGTAAACATAAATAAATACATAACGGTGCCTAGCACATCTGCATCTTGTGCAGTTATGCCACGCTGGCTAAGTTTCACCATGGCGGTTAGTACGACTAAGTCGTAACATGTCCTATCCAGGCTGGCACTACAAACATTCAAAAACGACACAAAGCATATTCGTGTAAACGTTTACACTAAATCTCCACTGCACACTGACCTTGAGCCGGTCCTGGGCAACGATGTAATCAAACAACTCACCGCCCGGTGCAAACTGTAGGTTTTGAAATAGCACAGCAGTCAATTGTCAGTAATAGCTGGGCAGTGACAAAGCATGACTTGAAAGCTACTACAACTATTCTGTCCCTGCCCAGCAAAATCATGTACATTTTAAAAGCTGATTAGTTTCGTACAATTTGTCACTATAGTTCACTACATTTGAGGAATCATACGAATTAGATATCGAAGGGAGGAGCGTTCCACAAAGCTTTACACACACTGTGAGCCGACACAGTCACGGTGAAGTCCTAAACCATCCAATCGTGTTAGAACGCAGCAAAGTAGCCACCCGTTACGTTGTGTAACCGGGAAGATTCCTTCTGATATCTTTCGAAAGTACTGTTGACGCCACACACACCAACTTTGCCCAAATGTTCACCAAAGGTCTCAGCCATTACAGTAGATTCTAGAACAAGACAACACGTGACTGCATAGGCTCACCGAGACCATCACTAGTGTTGACCTTTTTGTCTCTTATATATAATAAATACATGAGCTTCTTACACTACAAGCAGCAGGAAATAGGAGATCTAGGTGGCACAAGTAAGAAAACGACTACCACGAAGCAAGACATGCATGGCATAGCTTCTTCCTGCTTACTTCCAGAATGAGATACAGGCGCTCTTTCGTCTCCACCACTTCATACAGCTGGCAGATGTGCTGGTGACGCAGCTCCTTCAAAGTGCGGATCTCTAGATACGCCCTTGGAAGATCATCCTTTGCAGATCCGAAATAAGATACACAATCCAGAAAAGACAGCAGGTTAAGTCAGTTCTCATAAGCACAATATCTTGCAATCAGCATGTCCAGGGGCACGACATCTTGAAATCAGCATGTCCAGGGGCACAACATCTTGCAATCAGCATGTCCAGGGGCATGACATCTTGAAATCAGCATGTCCAGGGGCACAATATCTTGCAATCAGCATGTCCAGGGGCACAATATCTTGCAATCAGCATGTCCAGGGGCACGACATCTTGAAATCAGCATGTCCAGGAGCACAATATCTTGCAATCAGCATGTCCAGGGGCACAATATCTTGCAATCAGCATGTCCAGGGGCACGACATCTTGAAATCAGCATGTCTCAGTTGAGGCCGTGACATTTGTTTGTAATGAATGTGTCCTAGGGAAGTGAGCTTCTCCAGAGACACACATATACACATGCACAAGTGTTTACCACAACCCCACCCACAATAATAGCGAATGCCGCAGCGTTCAGGCAAGAAAAGCCTTTCAGTGATCGTTGACCACAGTTACTTCTTCATGTCTTCCACTTGTGCATCAATTGTGAACTTTTCTCACACAATTATCGGGACAGGTGTGCGCAGGGCGCGAAATAACGGTCAGACATCGGACAATTTCCGACCGTTTACGGTCAGTTTCCGGATGTTTTGTACATATCCGGACAAAGTGTCCGCGCACCTTTTTGCAAAGTACAAAAAAGAAAAGGCACTTCAATCCTTTGTCTCATAGTCATTAGAGTGATGTCGTCTGGCAAGAGAAAGCCAAGCACCGCTGATGCGGGTGCTCCTCTTGGAAAGAAGCCCAGAGGAGTCAAGACGACCACTTGTGACAAGTGGGTCGCCGAGTATGATAGGGAGCTTTCAACTTCTGTTTGGCTGAGCTATGAGCGCAGTCCCTCAGATCGTAGCGTTGTCGAAATTTTGAAGTGTAAGATGTGTTCCCGTTTTGTTGATAAAATTCGCAGCAGCAAGAATTTTTCTGACTCCTTCGTCGTTGGCTCAAGGAACCTGAAAACGTCAGCCTTCAAAGATCATGCTGCTTCTGAAATGCATCGTCGTGATAACATTTCGATGGTATTAATTCTACACTGAACATTGTGTGATTTGATGTGAAAGTTGCATGTCCGGACATGTCCGGCCATTTTTGCATCTGGCAGGACATTGTGTCAGAGCATATTTTAATCCTTAGCGCATGCCCTGTGTGCGTATGTGTGTGTGTGTGTGTGTGTGTGTGTGTGTACGTGCATACATGTCTGTTCCTGAGCGCACATGTACAGTAGTCACGTAATTGTGGTAGTATTCAAACGGAATTTGGACCGTCATCAGGAAACGCGTTCACTTCACTTACTCCCAGACCAGCCTTGTCCATAATCTTGATTGCCACCTAAAAACACAAACCATCAAAGTTATGTCATACACAAAGTGTTTTTGATCAAAATACTTCGAAGTACATGATTGTAGTTGTGACGCATAAAATTAAAGGGCTCGGCAATCGCGTATTCACTGAATAAATCTTGCTACATAATACTCTTTCACACCATTTCCAATGAACCCCTATGGATCTCTTCCGTTCTGATGTAGCAAGCCAGGATACGTTTATACTTTATAGGCTTCATACAGCTGATCAGGTAAAGAACTTGGTCAATGTTCCACTCTTTGTTGTGCCTGTGGGGCTAAAGATGTTCCTTATTCCCGTAGCTATGTAGAAGACGTTACTTCAGTAACGTCTGGAGCTAGCCAGGGTCCACACAGCTTTAATTCCCGTAGCTATGCAGAAGACGTTACTTCAGTAACGTCTGGCGCTAGCCAGGGTCCACACAGCTTTAATTTGGTGTTTGTTTGTTTGTTTGTTTGTTTGTTTGTGTCACGCCTGGCGCTATCCCGTATCTGTCCCGTACTGTACCGTACCAGCAAAGACAGCTGGCCACAATATTTTTGTGTGTTTGTGCCATCGACATGCCTGGCGCTATCCCGTACCTGTCCCGTACCATCAAGAGTACGGTACCATCAAGAGAATAAGACATTAGTATATATGCGAAGTGTATCGGGGGAATGCATTCAGTGCAGTAACATTTTGTGTGCGAGGCCGAGATCCCATTAGCAGGCTGGCTGGGCCGCCTGTCGACCTGCCCGGGAATCGCATGTAGGCGGATAGCATAATAACTATAACGTATAATTATACAGTCATGTAGATGTATAGCAGGGAGTCATATTATGTAAACGACTCCCTGCTGTATGGGGAGATTTTCTGGAAAGAAATACGAAGTAGGGAGACGAGTAAATGCAATCAGAATGGATGTTGGTTTCCGCCAGTATAATAATAAGAAGAAGATAAACGCCCGTGATCGGCAGAGTCAGCGCCGGTCCCAGGAAACGTCATCAGGACAGACATCCCGTCGACTGCAGAACGCCCGTGATCGGCAAAGTCAGCGCCGGTCCCATAGCTATGCAGAAGACGTTACTTCAGTATCTCATTGAAACGTTTTGGCAATACAATGATGAAGCTAATCAAAGGAAAAAGCATTTCCATCAGTTCTAACAACATGCACGATGAGCTAGGCAACAAAGCATAGCGCAGGGCCCTGAGCTTCCAAGCTCTCTCGTTTGGTATTTGTGTGTTTGTTTGTTTGTTTGTGTCACGCCTGGCGCTATCCGTATCTGACGGCAAAAAAGCATAGGATGTTATAAATTTTTCGATTTTTCCTATTTTTTTCAGGCAAATCCTGGGATTCGAACCCGCACTATCGCCCTACATGCATTCCCCCATACACTTCGCATTCATACCCATTCTTCCAAGTTGCTTCACGTTATTATCTTGCGTTTGAAAGCCCTATTTAAATATTGTGGGCAGCTGTATGTGGCCAGCTGTGTTTGATGGTACGGTACGGTACGGGAGACGGTGTCGTATTACCCTCGATCGTACCTGTCCCGTACCTATCCACTACCGTACCGTGCCATCAAAGACGGCTGGCCACAATGCATATTCAAATAGGGCTTTCAAATGCAAGATCACAATGTGAAACAACTTGGAAGAATTAGTATGTGTGCGAAGTGTATCGGGGGATGCATGCAGGGCGCGCGATAGTGCGGGTTCGAATCCCAGGTTATGTCTTAAAAAAAAAGAGGATTTTTTAAAGAATTTATAACATCCCTATGCTGTTCATCAAGGCAAAAAAGCATAGCGTAGGGCCCTGAGGTTCCAAGCTCTCTCGTTGCCAAATTGGGGCTAAAGTTGTTGCTTATTGCCAAATTGGGGCTAAAGTTGTTGCACATTTTGCCAAATTGACACACATGGCACTACACCGACTCCAGAATGCACTGGCTGTTAGCAACCACTCAAGAGAATGAGAAACTTGAGAAGAAAGACATGTGCCAACATAATTTAACTCGGATACTGAGCCAGTAAATACAATTAAAAAAGAAGAAATCGCATGGAAACGAGTTATGAAGCAACTAACACACACACATCTCAGACCTGCCCATCGCGGAAGCGATGATAGCGAACAGCTATGTTAGACATAGCAACTTGTGCTGGGATTACACCATTCAACAGGTTGCAAGGCTGATGAATTGACCGCCACTAATTTTAGCCTAGTATCCACCACACAGCTGATTGAAGTGACTTATTCTGGCCAGTGAATCCCAAATTTTCATTTATCCATTTTTCTTCTTCTTCTTCTTTTTTTTTTACACACACCACACCGCATACTCCGGCATACACTGGCTGTTGGTAACCACCCAGGAGAATGAAAGAAGAGCTAGGAGAATGAGAAAGAGAAGAAAGACGTGTGCGACCATAATCGTCGGGAATTGAACCCGCAACCTCTCGATTGGAAATCGACTGCACACACCACTGCACCATATGGGGAACACACACATACACACACACACACACACACACACACACACACACACACACACACACACACACACACACACACACACACAAACACACACACACTGACAGCTATCAGACAAGGTTTGTAAGACCTCTGATCAGCCGTGCAGGTCAACAGGAATAAATTTGCTTGAGCAGCAAACACACAATCAGTTCTTCTTACCTGCATGCCAGTCAGCTTATGCCGGCCGACTTTAACCTTAGCAAAGCCACCTATCAGGCACAAGCAAACGAAAGCTAACGCAGTCAACGAAAACGTCAGGGAGAACTACGACGTACCGAAGTAGCAAGAGAAAGCCAACATCGGCTACTGGTATGTGCTGGATATCTGCCATGTTTTGGCCTTACTGGCTCCTTGGTATGTTTGTTAGAGTGTGCATGCGTGTGTGTGTGGGGGGGGGGGGTGGTGGCGGTGGTGGTGGTGGTGGTGGTGGTGGTGTGTGTGTGTGTGTGTGTGTGTGTGTGCGTGTGTGATCCTTGGTAACCTGAATCCTTGAAAGGCAATGGCGATGCTGCCAAAGCCCGTCCATGGATACTTCCACCCAAAACAGGTGTACAGCGCCGTTATCAACTCCTGACCCATTTGACCCCCCCCCCCCCCCCCTCCCTCGAGTAGGAAATGTGCGTGTGAGGTCATACCCTGTTGGGTAGGGGGAGCAGTGTAGCAAGACAATAATATCACCATGATCACTGCACTGGGCAATCTTCACTGTATGGTAGGTTGCATACATGTGCACGTACATCGTGATTGCATGATTCAACCTTATCATAGGTACAAGCACAAATTCATGCAGGTACAACCCCAGGGTGTTCTCTGTCAAAATCACGGATGGGCTTTTTGACAGAGGTTGAATTTTTGGACGGTGTCAAATAAAAAATTGATGGTTTGATGGAACTACGCATGTTGTGCTGGTTGTGATTATTATGTGTTGAAAATCATGGATGGATGGCTCACTGTAAGGATTACTGTGACAGTGTTGGTGTTAGGTAGGCTGGGCCTACTTGTTTGACACCATCCCTGTAATAAAAAAATAATATCAATCTCGAGGAACGCCAACCCTTGCTATGGCTGTGGCATAACTGTATCTGGGGGTTTCGCAGTGAAACATGTTGAAGAAATGAATCGTCTTTTTCAAAGCATGACATTGACAAGTACGTACACACCGTGTACGCACAGCGCTTCCACCCCAATTCAAGTGTCACTAAGAAACACACAGCGCGGCCGTGAGGTGGGATAACAAAATGGGGGTGGACGCTTGCTGATGCACACGCACCACGCAGACGCCATAATCCACTTGAAACTTGAGTGCATGCTTAGTCTTAGTAGAGATTATTCACTAACCGGAGCCGATCGTCTCCTTGACATCGTATCGATCAGCTATGTCGGGATGCAGACTTCTTGGAGCTGGCATTGCGATTGGAAATCCTGTCGCCTTCGCTTTCCAAGCGGTCGCAGCGACTGACGCCTTGCGCACAGTGCAGTGTGCGAGTGACAAATTATTTTATTATCAATCTTCTTTATCAGTAGTGGCAGTAGAGAGTAGGCTGCATGAAGCGCAATGAGGCAACTGTTTGCCAGAAGACTCTACAACACCAGGAACTGCACAGAAATCCTCCAATCCAAATTCCCTCCGGAGAAATAGAAGAGCTATGAAACGTGCAATCAAAATACAATATTGGTGTGGGCAGTAGTGCAACAACCATCGACCAATGCGTTTGTGGGTGCAAGATCAAAGCGAGGTCGATCGACTGTGCAAACAAACTCCGCAAAATGCTAGTCTGTGTTACCGCCGGGACAAGGGTGGTGGTGTCGTACATGGTCGTGGTCATGCAAACTACAGCCAGTACAGGCTGTGTACTCGTAGAGATATGTGTGTGCAGCCAAACAGTTTTTACTGTGCGTAAAACTCGCTCCGGACTCAACCACATCTGTGTGCGTGCGTGTGTGGTGAGAGTGACATGATACTGACACAGTGACAGCATGCATGATGTAAACCTGCGCTGCATGCAGTCAACTACATACTAGTTTACTGGCTATACGAGCGCTACTACCGCTAGTATAGTGCGGTCAACCACGCAGTAGATCCACACGACCACAGCTAGCGCTAGCTGCGGCAAGTCGGGGGAAACGCGCAGGCTACATAATATAATATTTTGTAGACTGTTTATTTGCTACCCCAGCGCAGAAGAGCGAAGGACATGAGCATTTCTTGCACCGACCGTCCGCGGAGTGCACCTGGCTCTCCGGAAATGCTCCGTGAACACCGTCATTGCGACATTGGGCAAGAGGTGTTTTTCAGTTTCGCTAGAATTCAGTCATACATGTACAATTTTTGAATTACATCATAGACCAAATTCTTCCCCTTTGCCTGCTGCGCCAACACTCCAGACAACCGATGTCAGCCAGCAGACTGAACTTCTCATCGTCTTCTGTCCTGAAGTCAGTGAAGAGTGGATTGGCTGATCGTGAACAACGGACATAGTCCTACATGTAATGTAGGTGAATACGAGTAGTACTGAGAAGAAGGTTTGAGGGAAACCTTGGTCTTGGATCTGAACTTCTGAAGTCGGCAGACTCATCGGATGAGTAGATCTTATTCTACATCATTCTACAACTTCGACAAGTACAGTGAAGTAGTCGTCCTGGGAAGTGGGCTACCTTTGCACATGCACTTGCATGCACTGACTGTTGAATGATTGATCTACCATCTACAAAAGTACAAAGTACAGTACATGTAAGTACAGTCATGATCACAAAAGGCGATCGATTGTAGCCACACTTGAGGTGGGTCGGTAGATGTGGGCCGGCCCGCACAGGTACTCGGCAGACAGCTGCAGATGGCATCGTGGCTGCATGAACTGATTACAGCTGTAGTGTAGGTGGAGTCGACAAAATTAATACAATAACTATTATGACTGTGTCACCATAGTAAAGGTTCTCATTATTTGTGGTGGTCGTGTCATGTGATGGTGAACGTAACAAAAAAAGTCGTTGTCCGTGACAATAGTCAATAGCTAGTGATGGACTTGGGGAGTTGCCTTTATTAGCTGGATCGCGGTCAAGTGGACCACGCGTCATGAACTGCCCATAGAACAAGGTCAGGACACTGCAAGGATTAGTTTACAAAATAATACACTATACTGTAGGCATAGTTTCTAAAAATTAGCAACACGTATGCTAAGTGCAAGGTTGCAAGTCATTGTACTTGGACATAATTGTGGTCGACCTGGCCTGTCCACTTCTTCTACGGCATTGCTCCAAACCTTCGCAGGAATTATATCACCTGCGGCATCAGCTAGCTGTAACTCCTACAAAGTACAAGTACATTGCACATAGTCATTGTACATGACTTTAACTTAGTAAATGTCCCATAGAGAGAGAGAGAGGGGTATGTGCTCGTACTGCACGGTAGAGGTTTGTAACAGTCATGTTATCTTCCCGTTCCCTGCACTAGTACTAGTAGCAGTGCCTATTGGTGAGTTGTTTTGCTCTCAGCTAGCTGATATTAGCACGCGTAGCATTTCTTTTTCTTTCCAGGTTCGTATATCGTGTCGATCATACATTCACGAGTTCCAGCTATCCTGAGCTCATGAGGGAAACTTCGGAGGGAACCAGCTCACGGTCGAGGCTCGGACGCTCTCATGAAGCTGCCCGGAAGGGCGGAGCTTTGCTCGAGAGGGCATATCGGCAGGCGATGAACAAAGTGGGAATCAAATCTCGTTAATTCATTCAGGCGCGTCACTAATTAGATGACGAGGCATTTGGCTACCGAGAGTCATACTCATAGTTACTCCCGCCGTTTACCCGCGCCGTTGGGATCCACCGAGTTAGGTTCTATTGTACGCTACACTAAGTGTATAATTATAACCCCATAGAACGAATACTCCTGAGCACACCCGGGTACCCGCGACTGGTGACCCTGCATCTCAATCGCTATTTTACAGTATTCTGTGTCCATTCTGTGTCCATATATAAATGTCCCTGGTTTCTTGTTCTTCCAAAATATGACTCGTCCGTGATGCCCAGTCACAGTAGCTGCCCACAGCAGTGTGCATAATTATTATCTTTACCTCAAGCAAAATCTATGATAACTGGAAAACGTGTTGAAAGACACGAGTGATCAGGAATCTGGCGGGCCCAAACCTGGCTGCGAGTTGGAGCTATCACCTACATGTACATTTGTACACTGGTCTAGACTGTTTGTTCAGTGGTTGGGTAGCAGGAAATCGTTGCATGCTTAGTGGCCTAGCCGATTTACTATCCTCAACTTCTCAAGTCAAGGCACGGATACAGTGCACTGAGTCTGTACAAATGCTTCTACTTTTAAAAGTTCGACCATTTCAAGTTTTATCTCCTTCTCTACACAGGCAGACAGGCATAGTGGGATGGTCTAAGACCATGATGGCGAAACAGAGGGTACCAGGTTCGAGTCCTGCTTGGAAGCGGAAGGATTTTTTCCAGCCGTTCTGCGACCCACAGAGAACTTTTAAAAAAAAATATAAAAAAGAAGAACTTAGAAGCCGTGGTGAGGCTTCCTGCAGCTTCATTCGTAGGAAAAAATGGTGTCAGAGCAGACTCGCTCTCTTCCCATTCACTCTGCAAACTCGAACTCATTTCTCAATCAATTTATACAACGTTTCGGCAAGCTTGCACACCATTGGCATTGCGTAACTTTCCCATTCACTCTGCAAACTCGAACTCATTTCTCAATCAATTTTTACGTTTCGGCAAGCTTGCACACCATTGGCATTGCGTACCTGATGAGGGCAATTTTGTCGAAACGTTGTAAAAATTGATTGAGAAATGAGTTCGAGTTTGCAGAGTGAATGGGAGGAGAGCGAGTCTGCTCTGAAACCTATTTTTCCTAAAAAAAAAAAGAAGAAGAAAGTGGTACTGTACCATGCCAGCCGGCTATTATCAAATGAAGCTTCGTCTTTTTGTGAGAGCTTGGACAATCCACTTGTCCAGGCAAGAAGGCAGCAATGCCTGTTCATTCTGGCGAAGTAAAATAAAATATACCAACCAACCAACCAACCAAGTAGTACTATACATGTATGCAGGGTATTATTAAAATTGCCAAGCATGCCCCATGTAAAACAGTTACTGCTATAAAAGTCTGTACGTCGCTGCAGTGCTAACGCTACTGCATGACTGACGGTCTGTGCACGTCACTGCACGGAGTGCATCATTTTCCACAGCTTTGCACATGAACGCTACGTAGACTCTCCTCACTCACCAGCACTCGTACTCATGCTCACGCAATGTGGATTAGCGGCGTAAATAATCGTGACACATGCTGACTTCCTGGGAAACGTCGTTGACAGATAATACGCTGTCATTCTAAGTTTGCCTGTCACTGTGCAGTGTGTGTCAGCTCCTGGCTGATGGGGCAGGCCCCTAGGCCAGACAAGGGTTTGTAAAAGGGGACAGCAGGACATCAACTGGGCTTGACACCGCTCAGCTGTCTCGACTCTTTTAGTCTGGTCTCCAACTGTGAAGGCTTGCCGCTTGGTACATGATTGTAAATGTACATACCGGGAGATACAATGACGTGTGCGGCTATGTAGCAAGCCGTTTCAGGTAGATCTCTACATGTACATAATAATAATATTATTGTAAGTCACTACTAGCTGCACTCATCCAGACGTCGACCCATCACTAACAGAAGAATGCAGAAGAAGGGAGCAGGGAGACAACAGACTGAAATGCCAACCACTAGCGCCATCTTACCAAGCGTATGCAAGGTTCAAGCCATTCCCTGGAAAGTCCTGTAAAAACCATTCCAAGTAATACAATGTCATGTAGTGACAATGGACACGTGACTAAAGCCAAGGGCCACAGTCATAATCATAAATATACAGTCATAATCATTTAGCAAGCAAGTGATGACAAGAAAGTTACTGGATGATGACGAAACTAGTAAGACTATTGGACATACCGTCGTCGAGTTGTAGTAAGGCCGGTATGTCCAATAGTCTTACTTCAAGTACTGCTCAAAACGGGTTTATTCAAACAATACGAAATGGAAAGAAGGAAGAAAAACCAAAGATACAAGGGATGAAACTCGACGATTTTTTTTATTTTTTATTTTTTTTTTAATGTTTATTTGAATTCGGATAGCTCAACAGTACAGAAGTACAACTACAAAGAGTACCGAATAGAAGGCCCCGAGAACGGGAAACCAAAAAACAAAAAAAAACAAAAACAAAAAACAGCAACATCAAGTTACTGATTATGCACATTGCTTGAAAGCAAATCACAACAATGATTAAGAGTTAAGCTGTCTTTTAGCCAAATAGCCAATTTGACGCGGAAATCTGCGATAGTAGTGCAGGACTTCAGGTCGTCTGGTAAATAATTCCAAACAAGAGCCGATTTACTTGAAAAGGACAGAAAGCCAGACATAGATCTATAGCGATTGATACTCATGTTATGAGTTGTAGAGCCGCGAGTAGTTCGGGTAGACGTACAGATGGGAAAGAGGGACTGCAAGCAAACAGCCGGCTTAATACAGTAACAGTGGAAAATGAATACAAGGAACAAAAATACTGATCGATATTGGAAAGAGGAAACATTGAGGTGGTGAAGAAGTGGCGTGATATTAGCTTGGGGTGATGCGCCACAAGCAACTCGTACAGCGCGCCGGTGGAGTGAGGCTAGCTTGTTTCTATTTTTAGCGGATATAAACGAAAGGTATACAGGGAGAGCATATTCTAGATCAGGCTGAATAACACCGACAACGAAAGTACGGCGGGCAAACAGGTTCATCTGGCGGAAAGATCGACGCAGTACACCGA